GGGGGGGGTGGGGGGGAGGGGGCGGGGGGGATTTTTTATTTATAAATGCAGGTTGGTGGACCGAATTTTCAGACTTCACCTTGGGCACCACTTTTCCTCACCACGACTTTGAGTGCTGGTCTATTTCACCCTGGAAAAAAAAAATACAGACATACAGTTTAATGATAAATTTTATTTTTGTCATTGGGGCAATCTTTTTCTCCGTACCTCTCAACAAAAGGACAACGAGACGACTGCATCACATGTATATCCATCCATGTGAATGAACTTGACGATAATCTGTTGAAATTAAATATATATGATACATGATTACAAAAGTGTGTGATTTTTAGTTTAGTAAGCAACAGCCATGAATGAAGAAACACATTAGATTTTTAAAAAGTAAAATATTCCAACTTGTGTAGTCGTTAATCGTTAGTGGGTCGGTGGTTATTTAATCACTATTTTTCTACGTTCCAATAATTGCGAAATTATCAGCGCGAAAACACCATAGCGCATAAGATCTACATGAAATGCATAGCACATTTTTGTTATTATGCTACTATTATTACTAACTAGTCTCTAGCAGACTAGCACTAGCACAACGTAAGGTTTCACGAGCTGCTGCGAACTTAACATCCGGGCTTCATTTGCATTCGCCAGCAGACTTAATGTGTACATCGCTAGCAGTTTCTGAGCCAAAATATTTGAACTGAACGTTACTTTGGCTTGTCCTGTTAAACTTAAGCGCTCGCCTTCCATAGGTCGTGTGTTGAAAATAAACTGACTGTTATTTGTTTTAACTAACAGGTAATAAGGGCCGTGCATATATAACGTAACCCCCAGGGTCGGTGCTAGACATTTTTAGGTTGGGTGCAAATAGGCAATTTTCGCCATCTGAAAAAATCATGGGAAGAGTTCAGAAAATTAATTTTGCCCCATTGACGCCTGTGTGATGATCACTCAGCGTACCCGCCTTGAGCCGCCCCTGCATACCCCTACCCCTTATATCGATGTATAACATCTCCATTGACCACTCCCCTAATATTATATCACAATTCTAGCACAGAATTACGTTTTAAAAAACAGGCCGAAACGAGCAAATTTCAAGCAAAGAGCCCAAAATAACTTTTAACAAAAATCTGCTAATTATTGTGAGCGAAAATACATTTTAGTTCTTTTTTTATAATCTATGCTAAGTTAATAAATTTGAAATATGAAATTTTGCAAAACAAATAATTATTCTTTAAAAAAAAAAACATTTAAAAAGAATTGTTATAGAACATTGCTCTCGACCATCCCCATCCCACATTACACAATATAAAAAATGATAAATCACCACCAACCCCCTTTGCGTTAAATAATATGTGCACAGTCCATAATGACCCATCAAAATGATGGAACAAAGGTTGTTGTTTGTGTGTGTGTGTGAAGATTTTTTAATTTTAGGTAAAATTTAAATGAATGTTTCTCTTTGCAGATTTAATTTCTGCTTATCCATACCCTTAAACTTCCAGATAAATCTCCTATTATTGCATAATCAATAATAACTTAAAATATATATTGCAACATGTCAACGCACATTATTTTTCTCACTCTTAATTTTTTTTTTTAAATTTTGACTTCACCAAGCATATTTTGTGGCTTGCCTTGACTGGGCCTTTCAAAAGGATCTCTTTCCCCGTCATGATTGAAAAAAAGTCAAATTTTGTTTTAAATAATATGTATTGTCAGAATCAGTTTGTTACACCCGATGTGACCCATTGCCAAACCTCGCTCGGGAAAATAAAATGCCACAAAAAACAAACAACAAAAACAAACAAACACACACACATACAAAAGCAATTTTAAAAAAAAAACAGGACAGTCCCCACCACCCCAAACAAAAGAATATGCATCTGGGTTGGGCTGCCTCTTCCTACGACATACATTATTACAAAACGTTGACTGTTTAATTAAACCTACTTTATTTTTCACGTGACTTCCAAAATATATTTTATAAGTGAATTAAAAACTCACAAATAACAACCATAAAAAGACTTAAAATATATAAGAAAGTGTTTGGAAAAAATAATAAAACTGAAAAAGGGTATAAGGAACAAAGTATGGTTTGATTTGGTTACAAGATTCAGTGCTTTCTGTCAAAAGTTTTTAAATATTCAAATACTATTCTTCTTCCTATTATAATTCTTCCTATTATTCTTATTCTACTAATTATTATTATTTTCAAAAGTAGCCTACATCCTATATATCATTATTTACTACCCAAAAAATGATAGGATCGTAAACCTAAAAAATAATATATATCTTTTAGTAATTTGGCCTCAAATTTGGCTTGATTTCTAATGTAATGGGTTTGTTGTGATCAGGAAAAAATCTGGAAACACTTCAATCGACCACTGGCATAAAAAAAATGGCAGCAGCCGATAAAGATTGGACCTAGTGACATGTCTTTACCACTAGTTGCAATATTTTTGCATAATGTCATCTTCAGCCGCACCGAAGGTGAAAAAGTTTACATTAAAAACTGTTCTAGATGGATTACGTGGAACAGGCAGTTCTTCGCAAAATCGTCAGGACACGGAAATTGAAGAAACTTTACGGAGTGAACATTATCATGTGACGAAGGTGAAGAATTTTATTACTTGACTTAGGACTAGCCTACACATAATTTAGCATACCATAGCATAAACCGTAAAAAAATATAAATATATATATTTTCAACCACCCCCTGCCCCAAATGAGCCTAGTAAATGACTGAGATAGTTCTGTTGCTAGCGATGATTGTGCTATGGCTAGGCTAAGGCTATATATAACTATAGGCCTAACTATTATTAATCTATAAAATAATACTATGCACAATGACAATGAAAATATGAAATCATAATGAAGGCTAAAAAAATAAGACAATTCTTGTCTTAATATTTGCACCAAATATATAAGTCAAGACTCTTGGCAAGAGTTCTGATACTGATACTTACCACCAGTGTAGTCTGTAACTCAAACTGTAGTAGTAGGTCTCTGAGTCTGAGTGTCTGTCTGGTACTGGGACTTACTTTTTGGGGTAGGGTTTATGGTGTTATAACACTTTTTGGGTAGGGCTAAAACGTGTTATTACGAGCATCCTAAAAAATCAACAGACTAGAGCTTATTTTCCAGTTAGGGCTAAGGGGCCATCCATAAATGAAAGGACGTCACACAAATTTTGCCAATTTTGACCCCCTCCCCCATCATCACAAAAAAGTTACACACCTCCACCCCCCAATATAACATCACAAATCTCTGCACCCCTCCCCTATAAAAATTCCCTGTGTCCACTACTGTCCTTACAAACCCTTAGCCTTAAGAAATTCACCTCCCATGGCCATGGATATCAAATTACTGCACCTGTGTCAGAAACATTTCACTATAACAGTGGCACTCAGTGGTTCTTAACCAGCCCTGAGGTATGGAAGACCAGAAAATTGTATTCAGTGGCGTAGCTAGGGGGTGCGGACCGAAGGATAACAGATGACACATAAATTTTCCACCTATTCCTATATAATGAATCAAAATGCATGTTTTATTAAAATTTCAAGGTTGATACATTGACAATTAGGTTAACTTATTATTAGGTCAGAAACACACTATTTTTACCATGTTTCAAGGCCAAATGAAGTGTTCGGTAACTTTTGTGACAGGAAGCTATAAGCTATATTTATCTAAAAAAAGCTATCCTTTGATAACAATGGACGATTCTAATTACATGTCGCAGCTCTTAAATGACCTGACCTTCAACTAATGTGTTGTTGGTGTTGTTGTTCTTGTATTTGTTATACTGTGGACTAAGTTTAAACAAAAAGAATTACAGCGTGGAAGTGGGGTGACACTATGAGAATACCGGAACGGGTGACACCAATCCTAGCTACGCCTTTGATTGTATGTATTGGCTGCCATTGCTAGTTGTTGCTGCTTTTTTAAAATAAAAAAAAATGTTTTTATGCATTTTGATTAGCAAGGAGTAAATGTTTTTCTGGTGAATTTTATTTGCACATTGCTTGTATTAATAATTTTTTCCTTGTTTATAAAAAGTGAATTAAAGAAATAAAACTATGATAACTAAATTATTTAATTATTTAAATTTTTATTACAATATAATTTATGCGGTTTGGAGGGGGGCTGTTTAAAACGGAGTGGGCCTGCAGCACAGCAGAAAAGGTTAAGAATCCCTGCCCTAGAGCATTTACTTAGATACCCTCCCCCCATCAACCATTTTTTTTCGTTCCATCCCACTTCACATGGTAGTCCTAATTCTATGACTCCTGAGTCCACATTCAGCCATAAATTCTCACGACTGTCATTGTAACTACATCCTGATTCTCCTCCTCCTTGGGGTCCTGTAACTTGATCAGAGGTCATTTTTTGGACCTCTCATACCTGTACTGATTCTCTCATTGATAGAAGTTTAAAAATAAAATAATTATAATTGTTGTATAAAAGAATAATGTTAAAAATGTCTGTAATTTAGGATTATTAAGTGCAATTCTTTACTACTTCCACTTTTCATGTGATGTCACATTGCTTGAGGGCCCCCTCCCCCTACACATCATCACAAAAATCTGACCCCTCCTCCCCCGTAGACGAGTGACGTCATTTATGGATGGCCCCTTACTTATTTTCTGAGAGAGTCTCTTAAATCATTGTAAATGAATGTAAATTGAATGTTTCAGTATAAATTGTTCTGTTTTTTTTAAAGTATTTATTCGGCCTGGTATACTTAAGGCTTTTACTTTTGCTTTAGCTTAATTGCCTAATGTCCAAATAATCAGGCCTATTCCTTAATTATTTTCAAATTAATATCTTTCTGTTCTTAATTTAATTAGGGATAGAGCAGTGGTAGGCAACCTAATATTATATGACATGAGTATATTTTCTCTATTTGAGACTCAAATTACCATTGTAGCTATAGAATATATTTTATGATGAAAAAACAAAACATTTTTTTAAAAAGAAGGTGAAGTAAGATATAACCACCAGCTTAGATTTGATGCCTGTGACATGAGCACTACTATTTTATTACTATCACTAGACCACACAACTCCATAACAATGAAGAATATCACACACTGTTTTAATTTACCAAAGCTGATGCCTGCCTTGTCAAAACAAGGTAAAGATGGCAGCCATTAGTATAACAATTAAATAATTTAATGTTTGATCATGAAAAGGCAGCACTGAATAATTCAAAAAGCTCCATGCGGTTGATCACTGGAATAAGGTTATTTGGCTACTTAATTAAAATATTTTACATGTCTTGTAGCCTTTTAGGCTCTATAATGTACTAAGCGTGTGGTTAAAAATTTTGAATAGACCTATTGGGCTTAACATAAATACTACTATTATCCCAACTCAATTCATGTTTATTGTCAGTCATAAATGAAAATGTAGCTAATAATGATGTGACAGAGAATAATACTAACTTTAGCTATAGACCATGGCCATTGGTAACCTTTTCTTGTCTAAAGTGGAGGTAGGAAGATCACTTTAGATATAAAGAGAATGGAATGGGACATTGCAATAGTTCTTGTGCATTTTTCCTATCTTTTTTTGGTTTTCCACCCTGCAGGTTTTAGTTATAGTGGTATTTTTGTAAAACTAAAATAATTTGTTAACTATACTGCCAGTTGACAAGCCAAAATTTATGAAATATGTTGAAAAGATATTCAATTTTAATTTCAAACAATACTAGTTTGACTATAGTTAGAACAAGTAAGGCATAACTGGGATTTGTACCTCATTGTTTTTACTATATTTAAATACAAGCATTGTACAACTCATTTTATAATTTAAAACTATGTTTAAACAAATATTAAAGCTCAACAGCTACCTTTGATTCTTTTTTATAAATATATCATCATCATTAAGATCCAATGGCCATTAGGGCATGTGCCATGCAGCCATGGGGAAGAATTTACACACTCTCTGCAATTGTTCATTGTTGTTAACAAAGCATATTGGTGTAGTCTGGTATTTTTATTGATAGTCTAGGCGTAAGTCCTGAAGTGCTGGTCAGGGGATTTGTTATTGTCTCATTTGGATGTTTGCAGAGGGGGCACATTGGTGTCTTATGCGATTAAGGTGGGAATTAAGCTGTATGTGTGGTGTACCTGTTCATATCTTTGGAGGCAGTTTGTTGGATCTTTATGGTCTGGGCATTTGTGTGAAAACACATCTTTCTGTTGACCCTATAGCCCAGATTCCGGTACACTCTAGCCTTTAGATCGTATACAACATATCTAGTATTTCCTGTCCTGCCTACTGCGCACCTAGTTTTTTATTATTGCGTCCAGCTTAATGGAATTTTTGCCATTTTGTTTCCCTCGCGTGCTGGGTAATTTCAATAATGAAGAGTGGGAGCCCTGACAATGGTCCAATTAGAACACTCCACAATTTTATATCATCAGGCTGTCGAAGCTTATCTTGGTAACTAATGTCGGTGCACCTGCCATGGTTGGTACTACCAAGGGACTTGCGAATCTGTTCATCAACCACTGCAGCTCTTTGGCCTGTGTGCAGGAGATACGCAACGCACACTGCATCCTGCACCAGGAGGTATTGTTTGTCAATGTAGCAAACATGGACACATGTCTGGTTTTTTTTTGGGAAGTTAGTGAATGCAGTGCTTGCTCGTCCTCTCAACCACTGCATCTTCAAGCACATGTGCAAAGTTTCAGAGGCTGATTACGGTGATCTGCTTTATCACACTTAGGTTTGCTGGCTCAGTATTAGTCTTAAAGCCTGTCTTCACCCCCCAAGGGCCTTTAAAAATTCTTTGATGAGGTTTTGCTCTGTTGGTTTGGCTTCCTCACTGATATCAGCTCTCACCTTAATGAAATTAACCTGAAGCTGCAAGGGCCCATGAGCTGGCATTCAAAGCAAACCTGATTCTGTGGGAGAAACAACTGTATAAGAGTGACTATGTTTATTTCCCTCACCTCGCTCAGAGTGATGCAGCCCTCGTTGATGCAGAAGAATGCATCAGTGTCCTGTTAACACTGCAGAATTAATTTTCTTTACACTTCACTGATGTGCATTCTCATTCGCAAGAGTTCAAGATCATCAGCACTTTTTTTTACTTTACCTACAATGACACCCCCTCTGTCTTGAATTGGAGTTAATTGAGCTGCAGACGTTGTCCTGTCCAAGTTTGCTTCTTGCACCATGCTCATTGTCTTCTACCACAAGCTCAGTTTCCAATGTTCTTAGCCCATGCCAAGCAATGTGATCGCAATGTTTGGCAGCCCTTATTTGTGCGAGCATCTATTCTCCAAGATGAAGATTAGTAGGAACAAGCTGCGCTCTCAGGTCACTGAAAATAGCATTAAGACATTCAGCTACATTATTCCTCATCCTTAGAACCTGATACAATGCTATCGCTAAGAACATGCAACATCATGCTTCCCATTGATCATACCCTATATTTGAATAAAACAATCTTTCCATGGACACCTTGTTTCTTCTGGCCTAGTGTGTCTCTTGACCCACTAAATGGCCTAGTGTGCCTCTTGACCCACTAAATGGCCTAGTGTGCTTTCTTGACACCTTGTTTCTTATGGTCTAGTGTGCCTTCTTGATGTTCCCTGGTAGCCATTGTGTTGTTGACGTCCTTGGCATGCGAAGATGACCAAGGCTACATTACACAGTGAGTACGCAGGTGGCCTGCCAGGCCTATTTGTGCCTGGAATTCTTTCTTGCACATGGGACACACATTGTTTTTGATCCAAGTAGGATTTGTGTCAACTCTGCTTTACTTTGCTGTGCTCTTTCTTTGGGGTGAGCAGTGCACTTATAGACAGTCATTGGAAGTATTTTTTCTGCCCACCAGCTGAGCATTTCCCACAGGAGAGTTCACCAAAAATTATTTGTTTGGGAAGTCTGCTGTCTGGCATTCTTGCGACATGCCCTGCCCATCTGGCTTGTCTTTTTTGTAGGAGTGTTTGGATACTGATCTAGGACCTCTGTATCAGGGTCTCAAAAGTATCCAGAAATTCTATAGATGAGGCAGAACCTAATATATCTGAGCAGTCACTACCTCTAAATATTTTTTTTATCCTTCCCTTTTTATATACATAAAATCATAAAAATTATTTTGGTTAATTTAACACTGCACTTTCCAAATGTAAAAAACATAATTGTTTTCTGTTTATTTTAATTTTAATACTTTGGCAGCCCATCATTAACTCTTACGTCTAATAATCTAATATCGAATTCGGAGTACCCCAGGGCTCAGTCCTAGGCTCGGTGCTTTTCACGATGTACATACAGCCCCTGGGTGCAGTGATCAAGCAGTTTGACATGCAATACCACATGTTCGAGGACGACACCCGACTTCATCAATCCGTGATCCCCTCTCAGTTCCCTCAGCTTCTCAGTATGACACAGAAGACAGTGGAGTCAGTTAAGCACTGGATGACCATAAACAAGCTCAAATTGAATGATAATCCTGAGCTGATCCCCATTGCGACCACTCAGAAGCAAAAATCTGCTAATAACTCGACATCAATTACTCTCTCAGGTGTGCGTATTGAGTTAGCTCAAACAGTGCGGTACCTGGGTGTCTACCTAGATAGAAGACTAACTTTGGAAAGTCATATTAACATGCTATGCAAGACGATTTTTCTAGAGCTGCGCAGGATTAGTCACATCAGGCCCTTCTTAACAATTGATGCAACAAAGAGGCTGATGTCTGCATTTGTGCTATCACGCATTGACTATTTCAATGCTCTCATGGTGGGTCTTCCAGCTACGCTCCTTGATAAACTTCAAATAACACAAAATAATGCGGCTCGCATTGTTCTTCCCAAACGCAAGTTCGACCATGCTAAAACACTTAGAGCTGCACTGGCTGCCGGTCCGTGCTCGCATAGAGTACAAAATTGCAACTTTGTGTTACAGCTGCTTACATAACCTGGCGCCGTCCTATCTGAAAGAGCTGCTGACGTCTCATGTACCCACTAGACAACTCCGCTCATCCAATAGTGGCAAACTCTAAACACCACATGTTCGCCTTGAGACTTATGGAAAGCGCACTTTCGCATTTGCTAGCCCAACAATTTGGAACGCCCTTCCTGTCACCCTCAGAAACAACCAGACACTGGAGTCCTTTAAAACCGATTTAAAGACACATCTATTTTGCAAACACCTTCTGGGATGATTGTCTACCATATTTTCCAGTTAATGCATATTGGCTGTGTTGCGTAGGGTTGAAATGGGTAGAATGACTTTGACTTGGTATGCTTGTAATTAGTTTTGTAGTGTTGCGTTTGTTTTAAATGTGTTAAATTATAGGTTGGTATTGTTGTTTTTTTTACTTTGTACTGCGCTTCGAGCCTTTGGGGATGAAGCGTGTTTTTTAAATAAACTTTATTATTATTATTATGTTGTTTTTTTAATTTTAAAAGTGAAAAAGTGTGCATTGTTGCAGAAGACGGTACATTGTAATCTGTCTTATAAAATGCTTGTAAGACATTGTATGTAATTAATAATTTTTAGCTTCGTATTGTTATAGTTTTATTGATAATTGTATTCATTATTAGTAAATGGCACTAGGTTCTTTCAAATTTTACTGAGCATACATGTAATGGCTTTGACCTCTTGTCTGAAAATCATTGGATTATTAATAACCAATGGGAACTAGTGGTAACTAAGTAGCCCAATTCTATACTTGCAGACTCAATAGCATGTTAGGCAGCCAAAGAGTTAGTCTGCGAGTGAACACTCTTTGCTTTGGCTCTTGCATGTTAGACTCCTACATTTTTGTGATATGTTTGTTAAGGATCTCCAGTTTTTCCCAAATGCTTTCTTGTAGGCATATTTGATGAAAGCATGGCACTTTTATGTGTCTTGACTGTCATCCATTACTGGGAGCCTTAATAAAATAGCTACTGTTAAAACCAGTAGTGAAATGGAGAGCCCCAACAAGTGATTTTTATCATTGCTAAAAGAAACTGTGCCAGAATGTTTTTTTTTGTTTTTTTTAACTTTGATTTTTAGTAGAGATGATCTCACCAAGCATGTAAACTGATCAACTTCTTTGAGCCAGTGGCCATTGATTCTAGTTTTCGAAGTTCTGTAATTCCCTAGTGGAGATTTTATGTATAGAAAGTGCTTTTCTTTAAATTTATGTTTATATAAGGGCCTGAGATGCTTCAGCAAACTAGTTCCCTTAAATCTAAAACCCAGAATGTAAAAAAAATATGCTCCTTGATACATGTATCCCTGGTTCTTGCTTGGACTAGCTATTTAAGCTACTTTCTTAATAATAGTTTTCATTCTATTTTTGTTTTATAAATTCCAGCCAACCTGAGAAACCTTATTTTTAGTTTCTTGGTGGTATGGTAGGAATCCAAGCAAATGCCTTTCAGTATTGAAAGCTTTTTAAGAAATGGCCACATGTGAGAATGCTTGAGTTATAAGTTCAAAATAGTGGAGGAATCAATTGAAGATAACACATATTTTAATAATAAACTAAACTAAAATAAACTAAAATTAGTACCAGTATAAATCTCAGGGTACAGGTACTGTTTTGTTATTTAATACTCTCATGCTGAGTAAACTTATTTTCAATTTTTTTCCTTTTCAGACTGTTCGGCATGGATTCCCATTTACACCTACAGCCCTAGCATTTGATCCTATTCAACATCTTTTGGCAATAGGCAATAGAAATGGCTCACTTCGAATGTATCCTTCCAGATAAATATTTATTTTGTGTGAACTTTAATTTCAAGTACTGTTCAAAATTATTTTAGTCTCTCTCTCTCTCTCTCTCTCTCTCCCTCCCCCCCCCCCCCCAAATAGTTTTCACCAACTAGATATTTATTTGGGGTAACTGGTTGCAGCAGTATAGGTTTTGCAATGTTATATCATTATACATTTGTTATAAGAGGGTTGAGTCTTGGGAGCAGGACTGTGTAAATAAATTTTTTATTTTCATTCAGAGAATTTTCAACAATATTGCATGTGCGTCAAGGAAATGGCAAAACAGTTGACAGTTTCAAATAGAAAGACAGGACAATACAAGGCAAAGAGCATTCCTCAGCAGACAGGACAAATGAAGAAATATCAAGAAATAGAAAGTACTTTAAAAAACTTCAGTGTTCGCCATTAATGGTAAAGCTGGAAGTTTTTTTTTTCAAAACCAAGATTTTAAAGGAAGTAAAAGAATTTATGCATTATTACTGTGGGAAGAAAAAAAGATTTTAACTGACAAAAATATTTGGGAAATATTTGAAGTATAAGAAGAAAAGAAATACTGTACAGGGAAATTGAAGATCACTAGTAAGAGTAAGAGATAATTTGATTAATTCCATATGGTGATACTGTGCAGAAAAGCTGAGCTAATTTGTTTTCCTTAAAAAACTCTCACTGATGTGTAAGTGCAGCAAAGCAGTGCCAGATTGAAACATATGATCTCCCTTTGTACTTGAGCCTTTATCTGACTCTCTCACTCTTCCTTTTACTTTTATAATTCCATTTATAACTGATAAGTTATTTAGAACAGTTTTTTCTTAAAATGAGTTATTATGGATTAGGAGGTTACTTAATCATCTTGGTTTATTATTCTTATTTCTCATGCTAAGCGAAAGGCTTAGAGTGCCATAAAGTTGTATTGAATGTTTGATTTTAAAGCCCTCATTACAGATGTCCTAAATTCAAACTATCTGATGGGCATGGGCATCATTCCGAGACCTAGGGGGAGCAACAATAATAAACTTTCATAATTCAGCATTTACATATGTAACACAGGAATTCTAAAATTTTAGTAAAGAAAAGTCTCGAATGCAGTACAGACAGTAGAATTAAACAATAAAATGTTGATATAAACAGTAGCATATTTGACCAAATACGACCAAAAGCAAAATCCCCCCCCCCCCCCAAAAAAAAAAAAAAAAAAAAAAAAAAATTCTTCTTTAAATGTAATATTAAAACCCTAAAAGTGTAGCCCCCTTGGCACCCCCCACCCCCTCCAAGAATGTAATCATTTTTTCGGTTCTAATATTCAACTGTTCAATTATGGACATGGTATATTTTTTTAAAAATTTTGCAGATGCTGTTAATAAAACAATGCCCCTTTCCATTATTAATGTATTTTAACAAATAAAGCATAAAATCTCTAAAATTATTAAAAATTAATATAGTTACAACATTGACTAATTTATTTCGTCAGCAATGCATCTATTGGCTTTAAATTTAAAGGAATGCGAGAAACTCTTTCTTCCCCATCAAATGCGTATTTGCATTTTTAGCTGATTTATGAGAGAAGAATTGCCAAAGCATTAAAATATATATCTCGAGGCGTCACTGAAATTGACATTCCAAGTTTGACGTTGCCCTCCAAGGGCGATGTGTCTGTGAACAGGCAGCTTGTCTGGAGGCCGCATTCCAACTCTCCGTGACGGAAATTGTCATGCCAATCAAAAACGGCTTGTTATTCCCAATCTGTAAGCACCGACTCGCGTCATCGCTGGCTTCTGGATTCTCCATCCAATTTTTTAAAATGTTTATTAAGAGCAACCGTCACTCGCTATTCCCAAATGTTGCCACACGTTAATGAAGATGATAGTTTTTTTCCCTCGAGAATATTGCAGGATAGTTTTAGTGTCCCTTTTTAATTTTTTTCTTTAAAAAGCTTTTAGCATTTGTTATTTGTATCTCCCATCTTCAATTTTGTTTACAAAATAAATATTTGTTTGTTTTTCAAACAATACAATTGCTGCATTTTAAATGATATTTTTTGTTCTGTAGCATCCATGTTATGATGGTAGTTGTAAAGTCTTAATTGATTAGGTGTTGGAAAATGGCTGTCAATCCACTTACAAATAATCCACTTACAAATTAATCCACTTACAAATAAGTACATTATTTAATTGATTAACCCGTTTTATTCATAGGTTGAATTTTCGAATATATATCGTTTTATCGTCTTTTTAACATTTAATAAATAAGTCATACTAAAGATTTAGATTTGTTTGGACAACCGAATAAAACTGGTACCGATACAAGCGCTTTTCATCATAATTCAAGAGGATTTACTGAACAGCTTCAGTAATATCAGTAATATACGGCCAAATTTTTTTTCCTTACAAAAAGGTTTAGTAAATTAAGAGCAGCAGTGCTTAATTTCAAAACCAGCGGTATTTAACTTAAACTATTTTGTTTAAACCACTACATAGGCTATGTGTATCGCCACGTCGTTACGGATACCTGTGTGTAACGTCATGTTGTTTTTTTATTTTACCGGGGTAAATTATTATTTTATGTAATACCAGAGACTCACCCCCCCCCCCTATTCTATTATTTTATCAGGCGTGCGATATGTCAGAATTGAATAGGCTGTAATCACAGTTCACAGATTTAAACGAAATGTTACTTTCTCATGCAATCCTGCCCTTGCTATGTGCTCTGATAAGAAATAACGGGACAAACATTTCGATTTGATGAGGATTATAAGTATAGTGGTAATTTTTTGTTGCAGTCACATTACTGTGGAACCCGGTTATGTCAACGGCCTAGGGGTTTGACAAAAAGCGTCGAGTTAACTGATGATCGAGTTAACCAAAAACCAATATTGTGGCAATATATGATGGTTTGCTTGAAATGTCTATGTACATGATGTGCGCTAATAAATGTAGGTACTTAGTAAAAAAAAACCCAAACATACTGTTAAAAAAATATTTCAGTTATTTAGAAAAATTTAAAAAAAAAATAAAATAAACCAGAATCAACTTTACTTTAGCTCTAGTACTTTTTAAGCTACGAATTTTTAAAGTGCGAGTTCGTTTGGTATTTTCTACTCTGGACGAAGCCTCCACATATGTGACCTCATTCTGCTGATCGCGTCTTGTGTAATGACTATATAGTTTATATAAGGCAACGCACCCCCTTATTACTAAGATACTATTCAGGGACTACTTATTTTGAACTTTCAACTTTGGCACATGACTATTTAATTAAAGCTTTCCCTGGCCAATGGATTAATAGTTTTTGCACACGGCAAACTGTTATGAATGAAACTCTGACGTAGTACCACGGCATAGCCATTATGCAGTACAAGTGACCATGAATGGCTACACACGGCAAATTTTGATCATTGATAATATGGACTCTACCGGATTTTAAAACCTCAAATTAAAACATATTTATTTAAATTACTTTTAGTTTCATTCTAAAAGACAAGTTCTGTACTTTGAGAAATAATTATTTTTAATGATGCAAAATATGCTTATTTGAGTAGTCTATCCGTAAATTTGTTAAAAAGAAATTTCATCGACGAAAAATTGATCGCCGAAAGTTTGGTCGAATTTTTTTTTCAGTTCACACGATCTTTTTCGTCAAATTTCTTTTAGAGCGCAATATTTTGTTTTACTATAATGCATAGTGCGTTTAAAAGGAAATTTGACGAAAACTTGATCGTGTGAACTTGAAGAAAAAAATCGGCCAAACTTCCGTTCGATCACTCTTCCATCGATCCATTTTTCTGTCTTAGAAATTTATTTCAAACAAATTTCCGGTAACCGTTTATTTGTTGTTTGCTGTTTCTTCATGCGGAGTTCAAGAGCCGGCGATTGTTCATGGGGCTTGAGATAACCGAGGTTATGTGGCTAATTTGGCCCCCTTTTTGTGCTCGGGATATTAGGGTTCGGCGATTATAAAGAATCGACATAACCGAGGGGAAAATGCTAAGACAAAGAGGAAATTTGGCAGTTCCACTTCAAAATCGTCGACTTAACAGGGTTGGCGAGTTAACCGAGGTCTAGATAAGTGGGTTCGACTGTATTTGCTTTGTTTCTGTTACAGGTGTTCACCTATTACCTCCGCACACTAACTAGCTTCCGGTATATTACAAAAATGAGGAAGGTTGGTATTAAAGGACTCGTGTTCATTCATATTTTGTCATTAGCGTCTCGTCAGTTTCAATGGTTTAGCGGTTTCGCACAGGGTTCCATAACAAGGTTATTTGAATTCTGCTTCCATGGGCCCACGTTCTGGAACCAGCTCCCCTTCCATATCCGTCATTGTGAAACCTCGTCCATTTTCAAAAAGTCCCTTAAAACTCATCTGTTTAGGTCCGCCTATGACCTGTGATGCACCCTCCTTGCCCTACCTCATTTTCTGTTTCGGGTTGATCCTAAAGTGTCGAAGTGTCCTCGTTTTATAGCCATTTTCATTGTTTCTATAGTATAGTAGTTACTATCCTAGTGTCTCATTTTTATTTACTTAGTTAACATGTTTTCATAATTGTAAAGCGCTTAGAGCTTTATGGTAAGCGCTATATAAAAATGCCCAAATAAATAAATGTGTACTATTCATGACATCATACCGCATCGTGGACATATAAAAATGCTTTTGGTGTTCAAAAGCTGTCTTTGTTTAGTTTTAATTGCTTTTAAGTATGATCGATTAAAAGAACCATTCAGCAAGGAAGCGATTAATTTCTATGTGAGCCGGTAGCATATTGATTGAGGACCAAGATCTGGGGTTGCTTTCCGGGAATATATTTGGGATATTTTCCATTAATTCGGGAATTTGAATAAAATGCTTTTCATTTCGGAGTTGGCGATTACAGCACATCCTTTGAATGCTCACAGCCGTGTCCGTTAGGACTAAGCGTATCTCTTTTCTTTTTTTATTAATTCATTTTGAAATCTTATTTCTCTCCGTCACTGTTCTTCCTTTAATTTTAAACATTCGGTATTTCAATTTTACACCTTAAAAATAATTTTTAAATGCAGAAGTAACTATAAATAATAAAAAAAATATTTAAAAAACTGTGCTCATTGCCAGGGGTTCAATGGTATAGATATTATTTATGTATACTGTTTTCTAAGAACTTGTATTTTCATAAATAATACGATTAAAAAAATTTATATATATTATACTACTTTTCCTTAAGTTTTAAAAAAAAAAATATTTGAGTCTGTATGATGAATATGTTTCCCCTTAGCCACGTCTTTTGCCTTCCGTATAATGGTGATCATTTTTGGGTGTTAAGATCACATTACGAAATTGATAGAAATTACTACTGGCGACATTTTAGTTTACTATGGTACTTTCAACGCTTTTTATACTTCTTTTTATATTTTAGCGCAATCATTTATATATATATATATATATATATATATATATATATATAATTAAGTAAATGCCAGGCATAGATAATGTAGTTATTTATATTTTAAATAAGACGAGAGAACTGTCTCACTATGTACGGGCAAAGCTAGCAAGACATGTTTTAGTTTTACCGTATTTCTATTGAATCGATTGGGATTGAACTTGACGTTCAGGGTGTGTTTATAGCAGGACGAAATACTAAAAGTAACTTTTGAAGCTGCGAATTTAAAGGTGTATTTAGGTTTTGGGATTGTTTGTGGCTTGTTGACCATTTTATTGTTCCAGCTAGCCTGGGCAAATCTTATAATAGTAATCAATTATTGACCCACTTCTACCGAACTTACTTTATTGAGTTTCAAAACACGTGTTATTTTGTTGATAGTTAAGCCTGGAACTAAACCTGCAGCTTGGCTCAGTTACTCGTGACGCTAGATGGTTCAAATATTCGGAAGCCCTTATAACCCCTGTTGTTTGTTTTTTAATTTGTCTTGTGCAACGAAGCATGCCCTGTCCCGGGGCGTTGATTCATATAAAAATTTGCGTCAATTTGGAATTGACATTGGGACCAATTTATCCAGCCATCTACTTTTGATGTGGTCACGAGGCCTGGAGTTAGCAAGTTCTCTCCCCCCCCCCCCCCCCCGTGAAAGTTACAGCTTGGCACCAGGGGCGTCGCAGTAGTTGTCGGAATTTTCATTGATCCAATGCCATACCGACTCCATCACCGGATTTTTCTATTTCGGTTACCTCTTTTAGCCTTAAACCATAGATTTGTAGCTGCAAGGCTTTGGGGGTTTTCAATCGGAGTTTCCTTCTCCAAGATGGGCTACCATCAAAGAATGACAAGTTCCACACATAGTGCATTTGTGGTTTTGCTTGTCTGGGTATCCATCCAGTACAGCTTTGCTAAATAATATCATTCTCAATTTACACTTTTCGTTTTATGGGCGCTCAGCAATTTTGCTTTAAGTAACTTCTGACCATTTGGTGACAGATGAACTGAAAGCATCATTTTAAATTAGTACATTTTAAAACAGTAATTACCATTCATGTTAAGCCAGCGCGGAAATGTGCCGAAACCTGCGACCCCCTGTTCAAAATGTGTTCTTTGGCTTGTTTGAAGCAATTTTTAAAAGAGCATGTTAACACTTCGGTCATTAGTACCTGTACAGTAATTCAATTCAGAACCGATTTATCGTTTTGAAACACATGTACCGTAATTTGGTAGACATCACATCCAGTCGCTGGTACCGGTACCTCTGATAAAAGTTTGTGAGTCAGAATAAGGATGCTTCAGCGTTTTGAAACAATAGTTATGTTTTTAATGTTATCAACCAGAGTACCCAGATGTTAAAATTATCAATGTTTATCTAAGTGTTCAATTCTAGAATAATATCATTATGCTTGCAAAATGCTTCAAAAATACAATAAGGCTTTTTGTGAGTGATTTATAGAAAGTTGAATTTTTCTTGGTTTTCACTTTGTTGTGTCTTTTCCAAGACCATTTTTATTTTCAATATGCGAGAGCTAAATTAAATGGAGTTCGCAGTTTTCGTGAGGTGTAAGATTATCATATAAATACCTTATACACTTCTATGAACTAAAGAAACAGCTTAAGGCCGCTTGGTGAGTTTTAGTCTTGGTGTCACATGTGTTTGCTCACGGATTCATTATTAATAGACGCTGTTCTGCTGCCAGTTGTGTTAAGTGTATTCTCTAGGTACCACTATGGACATAACAGGGAGAAAGGGCGCACGGATCGCTCCTATTCTCACACTCACACTCTGTCACACTTTTATGGACCGTTAGTTTTTTTTTTTCTTCCATTGACGCACGTCAGCATTATTTTTGCATTCGTGTTTACCAACTGTTTTTGAGCTTCTACATAATCTGTCCAATAGAAATGCTATTTTATTTCTGCTGCACAACATGGATGTCGTTGTATTTCTGTTTAACAAGAAATAGGGACAGGGAAAATCAATCGTCTTTCTATTAAGACATAAGGGGTCCGAGAAAAGCCATCTCTGGGTTTGGCAAATGGTGTTCTATTTATAGCACATCTTCTCGGGCTATCACCATCCCCCAGTTCCTATAGAGGAAGGCCGAGATTCTAGATGGCTCCAGGCAAGACGTCCAATGGACACTCTTCATTCGATCATCTGCCCTAATGGGCGGCCTGATAGGCAAGCAAGGGCTCACAAGATAAAGACGAAATGTTGTTTTCAACCCATTATGAAGACGAGTAGAGGTTTCTCTTTTTGTCAAGACAGGGGTATAATTTGCCAGTTATTAGTGATATGGCAACAACTAGCCGGCATAATTAAAACCTTATCAAAGGATTGATGTCATTTATCAACTTGATGTTTTAATTTACTTTTTTTTTTCATTTCATGTTTATTGTATTTTAACATTTCAATTTTATGGCCACGGCTTACTATAATATAGGATATTCAATTCCTTCATATTACGGAAAATAGTCCAGAAAGGAGATCACGCACCCAGCGCCAAAATCGTCAGTATTCATTCAAATTATGCGTATTAATAACTATTAAAATTATTGCGAAGAGGGCGCCTAAATTCAGGCATTGTCCCGGGCGCAGTTTTTGCTTGCCACGACCCCGAGTGCAGGCTATATACTTTTTAATGCAGGTATAATAATATTTTTTTTAAAAGTGTCCTGTGGATACGTCTTTTATTAGATGTATGTGAATATATATATACCGTATTATCTTTGAGAAATAATTATGGTATCCCTTATAATTTATAGTGGGCTATTTCTTTGAATCCCATGGTTTATAATCCAACTTCATGTATCCTTGTGTCAGAGAACAATGGTTTGAATGTCCCTGCAAAAAAAAAAAATTCTCTGCCCGTCAATTAAGGAAGATCTCGAAACTAGCAGGCCAGATTGTTTGACAGCGTTTGTTGGTCAAATATATGAAGATAAAAGACCAGAAAAAGGCCAAGTGGGAGAGTAGCTGTGGTTGGTATCGTAGCAAGTCGATGGAATAGCTGTATTACTTTGCCGACGCAGCAGACCTCAGATCTTATGAATTGCGCTATTGATTGGTCTTTTTCCTCTCTTGTATGTTACACTCTCCCACCACCGCTATTCTACTTGAACTTCTACTGACCTTTAAATATGTTAACGAGATGTGTGTCCATGCGCCGTATATAATACCAAACACGCCCCACGTTTTTAGTTCACTTATGTGATGAGACGTGTGATTGACCTGACACGTAAACCTACGAACTTTACAACATTCCATGATAGTATCCCTTTTTAAAGGATAATATTAATACATTTATTTATAAATTGCTTTAGGGTTAAACACATTTTTCGATACGGGGACCGGTATACAAAATTAATATGCTATATATGTTTCATGCAATAATGTTTGGTGGTTTTAATTCCCAATTTTAATAAAAATGGTAATGGGCTCTTATCCTTGTTTATTCTTTTCCGTTACGATAAATAGCACGTCATAAATTTGGCAACATACGGATACTCTGTACAATCTAGTACTGGTATCATATATTTAATAGCCTTTTTAAAGAAAAATTAATGCCTAATTCTACTTTTTTCAAACTTTACTTTCGATACTTTTCCTGGAAATTTACATAGAACATCTCCATAAAATTATGGAGACTAGCCAGTTTTAATCTATATTTATATGCCCATTTAATTTTATCTGTAGACCCAGGCTTCATAAAAGACAATTTTTAAAAATAAGTTCAATCGGATTCATTGTGTAAAAGTAAATTACAATTTCAAAAAACACCCATGAGCTCTTGTGGACTTCAAAAGCGAAATATATTATAGGTTAACGTTGCTTTTAATGGCGTGGCTGCTGATTTCAACTTGATTGTTTTTCTGTTGCCGTTTTTCCTGTTCTTTGTGTGAATGTCACGTCTCCCGGCTCTTTAAGGCCACGTGCTGAATAATTGATAGGCACAATTTCACGTAACTAACAATTAAATGAAACGTTTTGCACGTTGGGTGTGCTGGCCAGGACGAGATGATTTGTAAAAATCCACCTTGTTTTAATGTGGTGCTGTTGGCGTAGCTAGAGTTTTGATTGGATACAACCCGCCGCAGTCTGGAGTTATATTTCATCATCACTGCAGAAAGCGACAATATATTCACCATGACTCGAGTCTTTCCACTCATTTAGATAACCAAATGACCTTCTTTGGCGAGCCATTTCAGTATTCCTGTCTGCCGAACTCCAGTAAATGCCACAATGCCCAAGGCTCTCGATTCTGCAAGACTGTGTTTTCTAAAAATACATTCGTTATTTATTCCGTATTTGTTTCGCCTCTGGTAACCCCCTGGTCGCTACCCCTTGGGGGGGGGGGGGTTGTCGGGCCTCCGATTGTAACCGTAAATTAAAAATATAATGATTTGAGAGAAATGCATAATCCATGTCTTACTAGAATTCGAATTACTTCACAATACTGCATCTATTTTTCGATGTATTTTTCTTTCCTTATTAATTTTTTTTTCTAAAAATACATTCGTTTTTTTTTCCGTCTTTGTTTCGCCTCTGGTAACCCCCTGGTCGCTAACCCTTGGGGGGGGGGGGGTTGTCGGGCCTCCGATTGTAACAGTAAATTAAAAATATAATGATTTGAGAGAAATGCATAATCCATGTCTTACTAGAATTCGAATTACTTCACAATACTGCATCTATTTGTCGATGTATTATTCCTTCCTTATTAATTTTATTTTTCAATGTACATTGGTCGCGGGCGATGTGTTCTGTAAAAAATGGGATCGCGACTCAAAAAAAAAAAGATTTGGAATCTGCACCATAACCCCTTAAAGCACCATTGATGCTGAAAATAGATTTAAAGCAGCGTTGATGAGGAAAATAGATAACCTGTGTATCCCCCTTTTTCTCTCTCTTACGTGTGTTTGCCTCGGTTTTATCGTCTACCTTATAGAGGCACTAAGTATATGTGCACACTTAAGAAAGTACTGTCTTTAAATTTTAAAGATACGCCTTCTCTTGAAAAACGTGTGTCCATTTTTGTTTCTTTAAAAAAATGAATTCATTATTATTAGATATTATAATTGTCGATTAAAAGTTTTAAACCCATATATTAAAGCTAGGATGGTAAAATCATAATGATCATGGGTAAGGAGCAAGTTTTACATGGCATATTAGAAAACTTTTGTCAGTGTAACAATAGTAACAATCGTATTGCAGTTCCAGCAAACAGCGACAATGTGAGCAAAAGGTCGTAGAGAACATTAACGCCTAAAGAGCTAGTCCCATTATGAATTGCTATATTGCTTCTAAATATGCGTTGACGAGATAATGGTTGGGCTTAAAGGTCTTTTAAGGCTAGTTTCCAAAGGTTGATTAAAAACAGAGAGGGGAAAGGTCCTAGTATTAGTACACCCGTAGGATGTCTTTTAAAAATGTTTATGTCTATGTTATTAAGTAATTTTATCGAAAACGAAGTTAAATCGTTGGCGTAATACTAGCAATTAAACGTGTGAAAGTAACTTCTATTTTACTTTATTGAAGTGTACTGGCTTAAAATAGTGTACTGGCTTAAAATAGTATACTGGCTTAAACTATTTTAAGCCAAGTATGCTACGTTACTTCATTTTTGCGTATATTTAGTGTTAAGGACGAGCGCTTCTTATTTAACCGCCACATGTGTACCTTGTATTTGTATATTAGTGGTCCTTATCTTACACTTAACCATTGGAAAATAAATAATACAATCTATTAGCTTTAAATGTGGGATTATTTCTTTAAACTCGTTAAAGCAAAGGACAAGAATAAGATAGTATGTTGATGGTTTTTCGGGTCAAGGATAAAGGAGTGCAATCCTTTACGTGAGTGAGAGGATGATGTACTCATTATTTTACGGGAAGAAAATATTCCTAGACTCATTCACAGTAAGAGAATTTGGGCCAGGGAACCGACGTTAGGAATTGACTGATGTGTTGAAAGGATATAGGGCTTGGCTTACACAACTGATCAATAGCCAGCCACAGGCTAAGGAGAAAGGCAGGAAACTAGGCACTACTCGCTATTGCAGGGAGTGTGTGAGCGCGATTTGGAACGCATCGAGTAGGGGGGTAAGCCGAATGCGATGGGGAGGAGGCATGCTGTAAATCGATTTTCTGTGTGTTGCTTGAGATATAATGCTCTACTTCACAGCTGAGGGCATGGAATTCTCTGTTTAGGACCATGCATGTGTCCATTCAGTTTCATACACTAACATTTACTGGTAAAATGTAAAGATAACATGCTAGGTTTCCCATGTTAGCTGTTAGCAGTTATTAGTTATCTTCGCAATTCTTAGACTTGAACTATTTTTTGTTCACCTAAACTTGTTTTTATTGGATACTCGTGCTGTTTATAGAAGGGCCGGTGTGTTTCATATCCTGTCTCACCTCACCCCACCCCAACGATGTTTAAATTACATGTCATGGTGGCTCCCTGGTTTGAAGTCATCTCTTATGTCTCAAACAGAATTCTTAATATGCCCAACAGCTGTTAAATAGTCAGTTTCACTGTTTTTGTTACATAGATTGTGTAATTATAATGCCTCCATTAGCTACCTTTAACAATTTATGTCCCTGTATTAAATATTAAAAGAAATTTTCTTAACCACTCTTTTTCACAGTAGACAGAATGTACACATTTCTTGCATGTTAATTATCGTTTGTTAATTAGGTATTCGTTACATTTACATAGATACTACTTTCAAGTTTTAAAAAAAACGCTCCTTAGTACATCCTTATTGTAAAATGTTTGTGCTCTATTTTTAAAGAGAAGAAAAATTAAATTTGCTTTGAAGACTAGTTCTCATTAATAACAACTTCATTTCATGCAGAACTTAAAATGAGTTTTTCTAAATGAAGAAAGCTTGAAAGATATATGCACTTGGTAGTTCCGATGATTAAGTAATTTATGTATTTTAGCATTTTAAAAATTATCCACCCAGTTATATTCTTCTAAACTTATTCTTGAAATTGCCTGGTAATAACTTTTGGTTGTAAAATTTGACAAAACTGTTGTCTCATCTACACAACATATCCTTGCCATTAATAAATTGGGTTGGTGCATTATATTATATGACACTTATAGTGTTTTTGCAGGTAAAAATTTAAGCACCAGCCTTTGACATATCCATGGTCATATGTGCTCATTTACTGATCTCCTCATTTTACCTAAAAAATGATGTGTTTGATTATCTTTATAAACCACCATAAGAATTCAAACTCTCAAATACAAATTCTTGTTGTGGGGTGGGGGAGGGCGCACTTTATTTTATTACTTGAATTGATTTTATTTTAAGCATACGGTTATGCCAAAATCACTTTGTTTTTATGTTTTATAAAATTTTATTTGATTTCATGACATTCGTTGAAGCCCTCCGTTTTAAAATTTAGATTTCTAGCTATTTATTTTTAAAAGAATTAGTTAAGATCTGTACACAGAAAATTTATGTGTTAATAAAACAGAATAAGATGTGCGGAGGGTAACTTTGTGGGAATTCATGATGCAACATGTCTTAAGGCATGGGCGCACTGGTCCAGGGCCTCATGTTTCTAGGAGACTCACTCTTTTAGAGGCTTAATGAATACTGAAAGATTTTGAAAATTTAATTTGATTTAAAAGTTGGTGGACAGCACGTTTCCCGACACATTCCAAAATTAATATAAACGCGAATCACTAGCTGGACACTTAAGGGAAATAACTTTCTTCAACAAGTTTTATTTCTCCCAGATATGATTGGAAAAAACTAAAGTAAGAATTTGTGTTTACAATCACGTTAGACAAACATTTTGGTCCCGGGTGGTGATGACCCTAGCTACACCACTACTCATTAGTGAAATTAGTAAAGGAGTGTCGTCTTATGGCATGGGCACTTGCTCAGGGTCTCACACCTCCAGGGGCCTCACACTTCTAGGGACATTATACTGCCAATACAATTAGTAAATATTGAAATAGTTTGGGCAATTTAATTTGCTTTCAAAATGAAAGCGGGAAGATCGTTCTCCCGTTTATTTAAATTTGTTTTACTATTCTCACATCAATTCAATTTTTTGATGCTAGCTTTAGAAATAGTTTCTTTTGATAAAATCTCAATTTGAAAAGGGAAAACAACAGAGAGGGGGTGGTTTTTTTTTTAAAACCAAATTTAGTCATTTAAATTAAGAAAGTTATAGTAGTTGTAATTCCAAATAAATAAACTTTTTAAAGTTGCTGCATTTGTTTGGACTTTCATGCTGTCTTATTTTTCCTTAAATAAATCACATAGAAATTAATTTAACACCATTTAGATACAATTTATTTTTAAAATGACCTGTTTTAATTATTCATACAAAATCTGTAGACCTTTTCAACAAAACAATATTTTGTGTAATGTTTTGTAACTGTACATTTTGGAATTAAATCCTAAATGATAATAATTATATGAATATATATTTAAAGGATCAACTGTTGTAAATGGCATTTAAAAATGAAAAAATATTATATTAATTTATTGATGAATTAGTTTAAACAAATAAATAGTTTCAAATAAAATTATGAAACAACATTACTATTTAGATACAACTAAAAATAAGAAGGATTTGTGGAACCTGTTCATCGTCATAGAAACCTAAATTTTAACTAGCATCTTTTCTGTTGCTAGCCGGTTAAGTGTTGTAGAATGATGCAAAACTAAATTATTGTATGTGCCCTCGATCTAATCCCCCTTCCCTATCAAAGGGTCAGTACCAACACATTTTAATTTTTAAAATAAGCTCTGAATGTAAATAAATTTTTAAAAAATTTAACTGAAAAAATCGTGATTTTCCTTTTGTTTGGTATATGCAATTGAACTGTAAAGATTCTAGGGACCAAATTAAACTGGGGCTAAAAGCATACTCTCATGAGGCTCCAATACCAGAATGAATTTATGTTTATGTATGATGGTGTCGAAGTCAGAGCTGGGCATCAAAATTCCTAAATTCTTTGTTGATAGATGCCCTCGACCCCCTCCCCACAATGCCTGAAAACTACCTCCTCTCCCCTGCTGAAAAATTTACTGTAAGAAACTGGTTAAAACACAAAGGCCAAACTAGGCCATAATGCTTTTCATAACATTACTTAAATAGTAGGCTATAGACAGAGCCGTTCCCAGGAAAAGCGTCATCCAGGCAGCACTAGTAAGATATTTTGCTGTCCCTGTCTATGGGAAGTGCATATGATTTTATCATTTAATTCACTATTAAGGTCCTATTTTAAGACGATTTTACCATCCCCTGATATTGACCCTCTTGCCCCCTCCTTCTCACAGATCTGAGTGTATTTGGGATAGGGGCCTCGGTGCATTATTGTACCCAGGGCCTCCGCTACTGTAAAGACGGCCCTGTGACACAATGTACAGGTTAATGCAAAATATCTTTTTCTAAGTTGCCTTTTTTTTTAAAATGTTAATTAATCTCCACATTTAAAATATATTTTCACCCTGTATGTTTTAATTAATGTTGTTGCTTTTTTTCTTATAAAATTGTACATACAAATACTTCAGATCAAATAAGAAGTATTTTTATTTTCTTATATTTAAATTATTTTATTTTTATATATATATATATCTGCTTGGTAGTAGAATATGATTCAGTTTAGCCGCTCTGTCATGTCGACCCATTAAAGGTTTATTTTGTCCAGAGCTCATCGGTGATGCTTTCTAAAGTGTGGGCTAGCCATAAACTTTAAGCTATGCTATTATTTTGTTCCTGTTCTTTTATTAGTAAGGTAATAGGGTAAATAAACATCATTTGTATTGATTAGCACTGCAGTTCTATAAAACTTAATGTTAAGAGTTTACCATCTATCCTTTTCAACAACTTTTTTTAAAGTTATTCTTGTTGCTTCGTCAAACAGTTTTTGAACTGTTTTTGTTTTTTTCTTTTCTTTTTTTTTTTTCTTTCTTTCTTTTTTTTTCACTTAATTTGTTTAATCAAAGAAATTTATAGCCAATTTCAAATAGTGTTTTGTTTTTTTTTTTTTTTTTTTTTTTTTTTTTTTTTTTTTTTTTTATTATTAATTTTTTTTATTTAATAAATTTATAGCTAATTTTAAATAGTTTTTTGTTTTTTTTTTTTTGTTTTTTTTGTAAATTCCTTAACATCTACATAGTATTGGCCAACCTGGTGTTGACTGCCAGTGTAATCATGATTCAGAAGTCTCTATCACACAGATATTATTTCTAGTCAATGAAGTAAGTAAAAAGTCCACTTAAAACATAATACTAGCCATAATTTTGTGCATGATTCTTATTTCTTTGTAAAAATGATAAAATAAATTATTACAGTGGTTGAAACTTATTTTATGGGCAAACTTTTGTACACAAATTTGTACCTTTCCTTTATTTTGTTATAATATTTAATAATAAATGAGAAATTATTTTTTTTATTAAACCACTAGGGTGGCCTTGTAACAGTTACCAGTGATGACCATCTGCATTTGTGGAACTTTAGACAAAAACGCCCCAGTATTGTACATTCTCTTAAATTTCAGCGTGAAAAGTAAGTGCCTTTGATTTTAAAATCTTTGGTAAGGAAAATGTTATATGTTTATCTTTGAAAAAAATGTTACATGGTTTTAAATATTTTACTCAGAGTGATATTTCTTTGTGGGTTGTGTTATTTCTTCAGATTTTAACAATTTTATTATCTCTTTTTTTTATATATATATATATAATTCATACTTTGGGAGATTGAATTGTTTTTACAATGTTGCTTATTTTTTATTTAAGGTGGATTATATTGAAGACATTTTTCTAGAAGTACTTTCTTAAAAACTCTAAAATCATTGCCATTTATGAGGTCAGAAATTTAGGGGGAGGGGGATATAGTTGTAAATATTCTACATATTCAAAGATTCTGTAAATACTCATTCGTTTGCAGAGTTAACTTTATTTTGGAAATATACATTTCTTTCACTGAACATAAATTTTGACAAAAAATTTCCTGTCATTCACCACAACTTAATGTTTGTAAAGCAAAAGTAGAAAATATATTACCTTAAAATGTTTGGTTCAAGTAATATTTGATTAATTCTCAGTGTTGTCTTTTTATTTTTTTGTGTGCAATTTTTAAAATAGGTAATGGACTATGGATGAGCATTTTTCTTTTGTTTCTACTTTGCTTGTACCCAAAAGCTTCAACTCTTTGCACCAAGACAAATTAAAATAGAAACTAAATACATCAGTATTTGAGTGTTTGTAAATTTAAAAACCATAAAGGTAGATGTTATTTGCATTCCATTTAGCATATATCTGGTATCATATGATGTTGGAAACTTTAAATAGTTTAAATCCTTATGATCATAATAGGTATGATCACAAAGCAACATCATATGTTGTAATTTGGGAAATTTAACACTAAAAACTAAAATATATGATAAATATTTTTTTTTTAAAATGTTTTATCTTTATTAGAGTTTCCAAATGTCATCTCCCATTTCAAAGCAAGTGGCTTTATGTTGGCACAGAGCGGGGTAATGTTCATGTTGTAAACATCGAGTCTTTCACCTGCTCTGGGTACATCATAAACTGGAACAAGGCCATAGAATTGTAAGTACTCTTAAATTTTGAAATAAGAAAAGATTTTGGTTTGTCTTTTTTCCATTTCTTTTAAAGAAAAGAAAAATATATCCTTAATGTATTCTATCATTTTTGAAATGCTACTTAAGGTTCTGGTAACATGTTTTTATAACCTTGAGGTAGATTATAAGTTTTACTGGAGTTGCAAAAGAAAAAAAGAAATATTTCCATATTTACTGTTTCACAACTTATTTCAGTTACAAATTTCAGTTATGAAGTTTCACATTATTATTTTTAATATTGCTTGTCTTTATTTCACCATTGTGCATTAGCGTGAAAGCACCATGTAAAATGTATTATTCTATTTAATCCTTGGATATCAATTAATATAAATTACATTAAAAAAATTTTTTTAATTTTCTAAATTAGCCCTCACATTTTATATTGGGGGCAGAGTTATTTTAATTTGGTTGCATGTGTGCTGGTGTTTTTGGGAGGGTAGAGGGTATAACTTATCTTGTCAGAGGCGTAGCGAGGGGGTGGCAGGGGGGGACAGATGTCCCCGGGCGCAAGCTAGTTAGGGGCGCCAAAATGCGCTTTGATATTATATTATTGGTAAAAATAATGGGTTTGAGAGTTGAAAAAAGGGGTGCTTTAAAATGGATCTTGTCCCCGGGCGCAAATCTTATCCCCGGGCGCCAAACACCCTCGCTACGCCTCTGTATCTTGTTTTCCTTAACATGTCATTAACTTTTCTGAAGGGAGTGCTGTAAATGGCTCTAATGTTTCAGACATTCCTCTATAAAAGATTTCTTTTAAAATTATCTTCAAAGAGGGTATAAAGGTTAATAATTGTTTCCCCAGATCCAGAAAAACTCATCCTGGTCCTGTGGTACATTTGAGTGACAATCCAGTTGACTCAAACAAAGTTAGTTTTGTGCATTCTACATTGTTTTAAAATTATAATCATAAAATCTGGTTTCTTTCAAATTTAAAACAACTTTTTGTGAAGCCATTTTAGATTTTATGGTCTATAAAATTTAAGGAGCAGTGATTTTTCTTAAATTGTTTTTGTTTTACATATATATGTATAACTGCTGTATACAAACATAATTGATAAAATTAGAGAGTTACTTTGACCATTTTTTTCAAAATTTAATCAATTTGTTATGATTTTATTTTTACGAAGATCAACATTCTTAGTATTACCCGGTAATTAAATATATATATTACTACATTAAAAGTAAAATGATATGAAAAAATTGATATTAAACACCCTGCTTTACTTTAAAAATTTACAAAATTTAGGAAGAAAATAAAATGTACACATATCCCATGTTGGAGACCACAAAAATACTATTCAAGCTGTTTTTTAATAATTAGAATCCAATCCAGTAATTATATTTGCCACAAATAATTGGATCTACAAACATAGGGAATGTACAATATATCTTGGTTCAATTAATTTTACGTATTTTTTATTGGTCCAAATAAGAGTTAAATATGATACCAATGACATGCGCAATCAAGTTGTTTATGTAGGTGATTCAGATGTCGGTTCTGTTTATATTATTACAATTCGGCAAGCAAAAGCATCAATATATGTTAAAATATACATCTACACCCTCATTCACCTCTGTGCTGTAAGGGACTGCTGAGCGAAAAGGGGTAGTCGGATACCTACACATGTTTCAGCATGGCCGTGATGGAGACAGCAACAGACCTTGTCACCTAGATGTGCTTGAGAAGGATCATACACAAAATTTGACTAGATTGGGAGCTTATCAATTACTAGAATACTGAGCTTAAAAAAATTCTTAACACAAGCTAGCTTTATTTAAGTAGAAAAGCAAACATCTTTTAAAAATTATGTTTTGACGAGAACGCCCAAGAGAAGTTACATAAGTTGAAACCCATTTTTATTGTGCATATGACAGTTAAATAAATTACTAAATAAACATTTCCATGTTACTGAACAAAAAAAAAATCTGTAAAAGAACTTCATTATAAACTTTAAATTCACTTTAAAAAATTTAAAAAATGATTTTTCTCAAAATTGTTTCTTTCTGTTGTTTTGTAAGAGTTCTAAAATTTGAGCTAATATAAAACCTAGAGTCTAAAAATTTGGTAACTTCATCTATTTTGTGGGTAATTAAATTTTATTTTACTTTTTTAAGTAATATGTAACTTTGCTTTTTTTAAATTTTAGAACATGTTTTCAATATGGCCATCATTGTCATGGCTCATATATAATTTTTGAATCTTGTAAAACATGATAATGTATAGATTAGCCATTCATAGCTAAACATGACCACAATAAAATAGTTGTTCTTTAGGTTAATTTTTTTTTTTTTTTAAATTTGTTGGTAGCCTACCCCCTTAGTAACTACCCTTCAAAATTATTTTACTTTAAACAATTTTTTTTTTAATGTACAGTACATTACCCAAATAAAAATTGACATAATTCAGCACGACCTTATTTGCTTACATTTTTTGCTTCTAAAGCTCTTAATAGGATTTGAATCCGGTGCCATTGTCTTCTGGGATTTGAGAACTAAATCTGCTGAATACAGATACAACTCACAGGAGGTGAGTTAATTAATAAAATGGAAGCTTTATTTTTTTAAAAGTTCCTTTATTGTGATGCCATTGTCAGCAGCTGTGCAAAATGGGGAGGCGGGGGGTGGATTGGTAAACGTCTTTATTCGTACAAAGCACAAATTTAATTTTTATTATTTATATAATTATAAATAAAGACCTTTGAAGACAGGATCGAAGCCAAATTCCCTGAATGCAGTATATGCGTGATATGATCCTGCCTGGGTATTATCTACTGTAATTGAATGAAATAAGTAATTGTTAAAGTTTTAAAAATTAACATTAAAAATAATTGTATAATATTATTAAATTTGATCTTATTCATATATAACTGGGTGTGACCCTTAAGGATCCTCGTTTAAAAAAAAAAATCATTTCCCAATTTGACTATTCTTGTCCCGCCCAATATGTTGAGTGTAAAGGGTCCTTTGACCATATTGTCTTTTTATTTTTTTCTCTTAAAGGGTCTCTAAATATGTTACTAACTAAACACTTTTAAGTGAGATGCTGAATTTGTAAACTCTCATGAAAAAAATATTTCATATTTCTGAAATTTACTTCATTTTCAGGCTTTGAGGTCTATATCCTGGCACAATGAAGGCAAACAATTCATGTGTAGTCACACAGATGGTAGTTTGTCAACTTGGAATGTCAAAACTCCTCAAAGACCTGTTTCAATTACCTCACCTCATGGTAAACATCCCTTATCTGTCAACATAACACAATTTGCTGTTTACTACCATTTCTAGATTTATGCAAAATTTACATAATTTTCAAATAGTTAACAAAAAATATCTTTAAATATTATCTTATTGTTCAACATCATTACTGAAGTTGTATCAACTAGGTTTACATTTATAAATCATAAACGCTAGCAGTTTCCTAAAGTTGAAAACTTGTACCTACAGTAGAAAAAATCTTAACATAAGCTACAATGTAACTATTGAAAGTATAAGTTGTAATTTCTAGTTTTATTTTTGTTCAAAATATTTTTGTTAAAAAGAGGATTTTTTTAAATATTACCTTTCCTTTTATGGCAAATAATTAATGGTACTCCTTATATGTCAAAATTGCTGCCTCTCTAAACAAAAGTTCTTAATTTAATCTTATAAATTGAACTCAAATCTGGAACCTATGGCAGCTTTCAAATGTTTTGTTCTAACTATTTAGCTAAATTCTAAAGCAATATAGCCTTGCCCTGTTGTAATCTGTGACAATAGTTTGAGTGCGATCAGCTTGATTTAATAAATGCAAAAACTAATCTGAGTAAATAATTAACTAACTCTACTTTTCTTCTCTAGCCAAAATAGGACCAGATGGAAAACCAGAACTTTGTAAGCCTATTAACAAAGTTGAATGGAGATCTACAAAAACAGGGTAATTCTTTAAATTTAATTTAATTAAGTTTTTTCAGGGTGCATTAAGCATTATATACAAGATAACTTGAAGCAATAACTATTTTAAAACATTCAAAAAAAATTATCAAACAAAAATTGGTGGGGTGGGGGGCTTGCAATCAGGTTAGGTAGAAGGAAAAAAGTATGGGGAAACCTGAAAAAAAAGATACAACAAAGGTGTCTACAAGAAGCCTTCTTCCGCAAACGGATAACAGTCAAAACTATCAAAATAAACTTTTTGTCTCTCTTCTGTCCCCTTTTGCCTTTAGGGCACTGCAACCATCTGAAGAAGCAGATTTTTGCCCTTCTTTATCTTAGAAACACTATCTCAACAAGCACAAACAGACGTCGCGATAGACGCCATTAGCCTTTTTTTTAATAGAAAGTAGTGCCAGTCACTTTGTTTTTCTCTTAATTGTTAGAAAACTGAATACGACTTGCCAGTCATGTGTGTATTAAATAAAAGCTTTTGTTTAGGGGATTATAATTGTGTATGGAAATGACATTTAACAATATTGCATAAAAGATTACAACTCGAGTTTGAAAACCAATTTAAAGAATTAACAAGATTTAACTGTACGGATAAAGTGCATAGAAACGACTCGAAATTGACAACTGAATGTTAACGATAAATGTAATTACTTCATAAATTATATTTTGCCAGAATCAAAGCAATAAAGAAACTTAATCTACAATTAGATGGTTGATTCTGGCATTTTAGTTGGATTGCAACAATATCAATATGCCTTTAAATTCTAGTTTGCTACCTTTACCGGTACTCAAACTCAAAATTTGAAATGCATCTAACATGCACAAAAGCATACCATTGGAAAGAGTTGACATTTAGCTTTCTAATGACTCAAAGATTACCTTTCTATCACTTATAGAAGAAAAGTTATTATTTTTTAAAATCTGACTCATTTAAGCCATAATTTTTCTTTAAAATTAAGTTTTTAACTTTCCTGTTTTCAAAGGTATAGCAACAAAATTACGAGGGGGGCCCTAACAAAACAATTTTTAACAAAATAAAACATGAATAGGAAATTGATTTTTATGTTTCCTTCAATTAATATTGCCTCAAGCCTTCACAAAGTAGCACTTGTAATCATTGAAATATCCTCATCAGCACCAGGCACAGAAACATTGCAAATCCCCTCTACATGCATAGGAGCCAAAATGATCAATAAATTGATCGTGGGCCCTTAATATAAAGAATAAGAAGATAAGATAAAGATAGGGTGTGGTTAGTATTGACACATGCCAAAACTGATTCTTTATAAAATAAAATAGCGTAACTATTCAATTAATGAAGCTATTGCAATACAATTTTCCACAGTTACAGTTTCCAGATGAAATTAAACACATTTATTAATTATTATTTCCAATTAAAATAATTAACCTCATTTATTTTTTTTTTATATTAATTGACAAAAAGTTACTGTGTTTGACATATTGGTACATTTAAATACTTCATTTTAAAACTAATAAAGCTTTAGTAATAAAATTTTCCACAGTAACTGATAGGTTTGTAGTTATACCGAAAGTAAACACATTATATTTATTATTATTTTGCATTAACCTTCACATTTTAAATTAAAAGCAAATTTGATGCAAAGCTTCTGCTGACGACACATTGGTATATTTAAATGCTTCACTTTAAAACTAATAAAGCTATTGTTATTGCATTGTACACACTAACAGATAATGTCCCACTGAAAGTAAAGACATTTTATTAATTATATTTTCCCATTAAAATTATCAGTTATAGAAAACAGCTCAGGGTGATAGATGCTAATGAGCGGGTTAGATATCTAGGGGTAAAGTTTCTTGTCAGGAGAATGTTGTCTTTAATGAGGTAGCAATCGAATTACCATGGGAAGTGTATTTAGTAGAATTTATAGTCACCTGACGAGAAATATAAATATAAGGGATAATTTTTTTTGAGATAAAGACAGTAGAGCTAGAGATTCATGGACTGTCATTCTGAAGTGATGGACACAGTGATACTAGTCATAGTAAAAGATAAACCTAGAGAGAGACAGATTTATGAGTCCTAGTAAAGTAAATATAGATAACAAGGACAGATCTACACATAAGCAACAGCAAATGTTAAGTGCCATGTGGGCTGAGAAGAGAAGCTGGCTAAATTACAAAAGAAATCATTTGATGATGATGAGTTTAAGAGATGTTGTAACCTAACAACTGTGTTCACACCAACGGCATTGACCAGAGAGGTCCAACAAGTTTTAGAACAAACTAAAAGTAGTGACCTGACCATTCTACTCTTGCAGGAGTTTGAAGCTGCTGCCAGTGGTTCTCAGGGCTAAAATTCTTTACTATCAGCATAACTCATATTTGACACTGAAATATCAACGCATAATAATTTTGGCTGTTATATGGCAATAAATGATTTTGATTTGGGTCAATGTATTCAGTCAACATCTATAATGTCAGATGATTTAAAATATCAACTCACAAACCCATACTGACTAATAGCTAGTTAAAATTTCATTGAGGATAGACCTGGCAAAAAAAAAATGTTTTTGGTATGCCTGGCTTGATCAGTTTTCTCCGTGGCTTGCATATTCTAGTCATTTTAAAGGTCCAGTATTTAAAATTTGTATTGTTTTCCCGCAACCCATTTATCGTTGGTACCAAGGTGCATTTATAGCAACACCTTTCACTAGGTACAAGGACTTTCCTCAAGATGCTCGTAATCATGTGGAAAGCTAGGGGCACAAAGGTGCTGAGCAGGATACAATAGAATTCTTGAGTATCATTTGGAATCCAGACTGACTTAGCTTAAGTTAGAAAGACAAGTATATTTAGAATAAAATTTTAGAATATCGAAATAAGCTTTTTCCGATTAGTATCCATAATATTTTTCTGCGGAACACACGACATCATGGCAAAAATAGTGATAGTGTAAATGTTCATGATCTGTTTCTGTTAAGAGTGGAGGTTGGCGACAAAGACCTGGAGACATATTTGCAGACTTCTGTTAGTAATGCTCGTTATACTTCTCACAGAATCCAAATTAACAGATAGAGATATGTGAGGAAGTAATAACTAAACTAATTATTACATCAGTAAACAGTTCTAAAGTATTTTCAATATTAGCCAATGACATTGCTGATATATCAGGACCAGAAAAATTGTCGTTGGCGCTACATTTTGTAGACAACAGAGATAGTGCATTTAAAATTTGTGAAGAATTAATCGGATTCCAGTCACTGAAGCAAATGCAATTGCAGATGCTATTTATGAATCACTGCAATCAATGTGGTCTGGACATGTCAAAATTACTTGGGCAAGGATATGACGGCTATCCCACAATGACAGGAAAGGTAGGCATTGTTCAGACTAAAAAGATTTTTTGATATCATTACTAATTTGTACTTAAATGGCAACTTTTAGCTTCAAGCAATGAACTAGTTTCATTTTTGGAGCATGCAGCAACAATCAAAAGATATTAAAAAATGCCTTGCAGCTTATTGACTTGGTGTCAAACACAGACTTTTTCCCATCTATTCGCCAAGCTATTCTTATTGCACTTAATTTACCAACAACTACATGCATGGTGGAGCGTTCCTTTAGTACCCCCAGAAGAGACAAAACTTTGCATCATTTGACAAGGACTGACTAATGTCTTTCAGGGTTGCGTTTCCTTAGTGTTCATCGTTAAAGTGTGAACAGAAATAAAGCAGAGTTTATGCAGAAAGTAAATGAAATATTTGAGGAGGAAATAAGCAGACTTCAATTCTTTTTCAAAAATTGAAATTAAAAAATATCTTGAAATGTTTTAATCTGTTAGTTGTAGTAAATGTTAAAAGCTTACTAATTTATGTTAAATGATTATTTTTTTCAAAATTACTGCATTATGTTTGTAAAAAGAAACAACTTTAATTTAAAAAGTACTATTAATAATGGGGCTATGCTCTTTAGCTTTCAATTATGTGTTTATATTGTGAAAAAGAATGTTCGAAGTTTGTTGATCCCCACCAGCAGAAAGCCCATGGCAGTGCCCTCTTTTAACGCTCACACCTACCTACTTATGTTCCATCACATTCCTCTTACTGTCCTCTTGGATACTACATTATAGCTGTTTATTTTTTATTTTCTACTGCTTTTCTTTTACTGTTGTTTGTTCGCTGAAGAAGGCTTCTTCACGTCTCATTGTTTTGTTGCATCATTTTTCAGGTTGTCCCATACTTTGTTTCACTTTTTTTACGTATCATATGCATTTTTTATTTTACATTTATTATATTCATAATTAGTATAATAAAAAATACTCATTCTCATTATGTTAATTTGATCAATTTGAAAACGAGTGAAAAGACTAAATTTTAAATGTTACAAAATAAAGTAAAGATAATTTATACCAATTATCCAATAATTCAGTATAAGCTGTAATTGTTACATGTTTCACTGTTTCTAAACTATGATTTGCAAACAATCCTTATATTTAGTTATATTTTTTTATGAGCTAAACTTTAAATGATATCAATATATTTTTCTACATTTTAAGGTTGTTTGTGTAAATAAATTTTTTCTCCAGTTTAGTTTTGAAACTTATCTGTAAATAATTTTCAGGGAATCAATAGTTATGTTTTCCGGTGGAATGTCTTATGACAGAGCTGGAAGAACTCCAACAATTACAGTCATGGCAGGAAAAAGCACTACAGTTTTAGAAATGGAGCATAATGTAGTGGATTTTGTGAGCCTTTGCAATACCCCCTGGGCAAATGGTAGGAGTGTTTAATTTTTGTTTCATCACATTTAAGTGGAATTTAATTATAAACTATTTTATTGTCTAAATTCTTCACTGTTCATAGCTATTCAATAATCCAAGTTGTAATTTCTTCAAATAATTAAGATTTATGTACTCTTCTTAAAAAATTACAAAACTGAGGTTGTGGCTCATCAATTTCAGATTTTCAAGACCCCTATGCCATTGTTGTACTGCTGCTAAATGACTTAGTTGTTATTGACCTGACTACACCGGGGTAAGTAGCATTCAATTCCAACACAAGCCAGTTAAATAAAGCATTTTTACTAAACATTTTGAAAATTCTTGATGATTTGTTATTGACCTGCCTCCACTGGGGTAAGTATGATCCAACTTTATTACCAACCAGATGAATAAAGAATTTTTACCATGTGAATGCCTCTTTTTTAAAAAATGGGGTTCTTTCCATATCTTGATTGATCCTTCCACAGTTCATCAAAAAGTTATTCATATTCCTGTTAATCTATTGTATTGTGAATTGAAGACATCCTTTTCATTTCTTTCAAATTCAGTTATCCATGCTTTGAGAATCCATATCCAATGGATCTTCATGAATCCCCTGTAACTGCCTGCCAGTATTATGCTAATTGTCCGATGGACATTATACCTGCTCTGTACTCTACGGGCAAGAATCAGAAAAAGTCTGGTTTTAGTGAAAAGGTGATTATTCCTACATAGGGTTATACCACTGAAAGTGTCTTCGTCATTAAATTTTAACATTTGTAATGGCTATTTAATTACTTTTACATGCAATTATTTTTCATTTTATCAGGATGTAGGATTTTGTGTTGTTAAAGCTGTTGGAATGTCTATAATATTGAACACATTTTTTCTCTGTAATTATTCAAAAGCCTTGGCCTATTAATGGTGGGTCATGGGGTGCAAGTGGAACAAGTTACCCTGAGATTATCATAACTGGGTAAGTTAACGGTATGCTTGTTAAATTCAAGTATATATTTTTTCACTTAATGAAATAATAAGAACATGGTATGTGAAAGCCTACATAATGAAAAAAGAAAATGAAAAGTTATGTTTTGGTTAAAAGCATTAATCTGGGAACACAGCAATTAAAATAATAAAATCAGAACTTAGTTTAAAATAGATAGGTTTGACAAGAACTTTTTTTATTTTTGAGTTTACTGTCACATTCCATGCTCTATTTCATTCATAGGAATTAAATACAAAATCTACTATATTTATTTTTAGTTAGCACTTTTCTCTTGATATGTATAAAAAAATCTTTATCGGATGAAAGATAAAAAAAATTTAAATTTCATTAAACTATATTTTTTATTCTTTTAATGAACCAATAATAAATTAATTTGTGAAAGGCAAAGTTCAAATATGAGAATTACTATTTATTGCATATTTTAGAGTGGTCTTTGTTTTATCTAATTCTTTTGCTAATTTTTTTTTTTACAGTCATGCCGATGGGTCTTTAAAATTCTGGGATGCTTCTTCTGGTAAATAGCATTTGTTTCTAATCATATTATAAATAAAAATCTTGACTAGAGTTTAATTCAATGAATTTTTAATGCTCATGTTTAAGTTTAATTTTTCAAATTTCTGAAAGCAGTTCCATTGATTCGTATTCATTTATTGCTATCAACAGTAACTTTACAGTTTCTATATAAATTGAAAACTGCCAAAGTGTTTGAGAAGCCTAAAAGACCATCAGAAGATAAAGATGATGATCCATTTGCTATTCAAAATATCTTCCTGTGCCTAGAGAGCCGCATTATGTGTGTGGCTGGGCCAACACACTGTATCCTATTCAAATTTTCCAAGCAAGAAACTTCAATAGAGACAGTTGTAAGTACCTCATGTAATTATATTTATGTATAATTTATACCACTTATTTGGGATTTTAAACACAGACCTGCCAACCCTTCCGATTTTGTAGGAATTAAACTAATTTTTTTTTACCCCACATTCCAACCTTCCGACAAACCCCTTAGAATTCCGATTTTTTTAACTTTTTAATTTTTCACCTGTCATAAAAATCCGAAAGCAACCAAAAAAAAAAAGATCAGGTACGACAGGAAGTGCTGCAATTTGTTTTTATGTGTCCAACGACCGGGCAAATAAGTGAATACATTCTCGAGATATTCGTCCGGCTATTATATATTTGACCAAGTCACATGACCACCATAACAAAGTTGCGTGAGATATTTGTCCGTCAGCCTTGTCATGTGACCGCTAATTGTCAGAGTTTATGGTACTTCATTTCATCAAATTCAAGATAGTCTGGGCATTTCAAGAAAAAGAAATATGTTCAATTATACAAAAGAAATAATAGAATCATTGCTGGTATAATATATAATGAACAATTGGTTAAAAAGTGACAATATTTTTTATAAAGCATGGCATGCTTGCCTGATGAATATCTCCCACAATATTTGTCCGGTCGCCTGACGTGTAGACACTGCCTTTTTTTTTATCCAAGCGAACCGTGATCTTCAAATCATTTTTCAATCAATTGATCCTATCTTGATTAATCCTTTTTACAAGGCTAAAAAATAACAGCGGCTATTCGCACCTGGGTATCAGAATTGAGAGGTTGGGATTAAAAAACTAAAATATTATTGTTGGGTTTGTAAGACAAAATAAGTATGAAATGAAAGATAATTGAATGGACTATATGTTTGTAAACTTACTTCTTCAGTTTATCTAAAATAAACTACCACAAATGACATCCGAATGGGATTTAGTCTGAAGGGACCCGGGTCTGAATAGCAGCTATTCATATCCGCATAATTATTTCTTATGGTTGAACCCTGGCGAGTGAAGAAACGGTGAAAACTGGAGAATGCATTCTCAATTTTTCCGCGCAGCAATATTAGATTTCAACATTTTGTTATAGGACATTTTTTTTAGAACACACAAAACAGCTGTACGATTTTTAATGCTCCTCCTTCTTTTCACCCATTTACAGCTTGTGGTAGTAATCAGACTGTAATATGTTTACAGGAAATAGGCATGATTGATATTGATTTTTCTTTTCTTTTTTTTTTAAACAGCTTTTCCTAAGAAATAAATGTCAATTTACTTGGTAGGTTTTTTTTAAAAATGATGCCCTAATTTGTTTATTATTTTAATAAATCTTATTTTATCCTGCTCTGACGTAGAGTTTGAACCACCTTAAATTTCACCAGTAACTTTATTTTTACCAGTGTGATAATGTGATCTGCAGGTTCATCCAAATATTAATTGATTTCTATAGCAAATACACATCACAAAACAAAGTGTTAACTTTTTAGACACCATCTTAACTTGATTCCACTGAACATGCGATGCGAGCAGTTATTGTATACATTATAAATACTGTTGTTTTATTTTTTTACTGTTATGATACTGTTTTGTATGATTTTGAGATGATATTGTAAGATTTTAGGAATTTGAAAGTAAATAAGTCTGCATAAGTATTTTTCTTAGTACACATTTTGGATTACGTTTAAACAAATCAAGCCAGAGAGCTATAAAATCATATAGCCGAAGCAAGATATCAAGACAATAATTTTGTTTTTCTTATTAAATTGGTAATTTGATTGCAGGCCTTGGAGTTCTCTATAGTATATGAGATTTTTGATGAGCTTGATTCCCCTGAGTTTGATTTTTCAAAGCCCAGCCTTAGTGTCATGGGACAACACAGCAGCAGCATGGGTTCTTATTCTTCCACAACATCAGACAATGCAAAGGTAGGTGTTTAATAAAATGTTAACCCCTTAAGTCCCTAAAAGCAGATGCATATGAAATGTGTCATTCACAAACACAAAGAATACTTAAAAGTTACATATCATATTTTTTGCCTCCCCCATCTCACTTCTGTTTCAAATTATATGGGAATTGCTTATCAGGATCAAGTTATGCATTAGAATTATCTCAGTTTTGCTCTTACACCTTTTCCCACCTGTGAATAAAATACTGTTTAAAGCCATTGGACTATTGACTTTCTGTTTACAAGCATAGAGGCTGACAAGCCATAAACACCTCACTGGACCATATCTCATAAATCTTTGTTATTAATTATTGTAATGAATTTTAAAATTTATTTGTATCTGCTGATTCATTTTATTCTGATTATGGGTCAGGTTTTTGTGTGGGTTTTTTTTTGCCCCAGAATCATTTATAAAGACCAATGTAATTGTAAGATGTATTATTTTTTTTAATGAAGCTAGTTTAAATTATTATGAAATTCCTTCCTTTCTGGATGATAAACCACTGCCCTTAAGTAATTTAAAAGGAAAAAGCAGGGAGCCTAGAAAGAGTAACATAATATTTATTTTTTTTTAAATTGAGGATCAAAAATAAAAAAATAAATAACTTCAAAAATGTGGTGACATTTTTATTTTTTTTTAATTTGATACTGAAAATACTGAGCTACCTAGTTGGGTCTGTGAATAGTAAAATCCTTTGAAGTATACAAGGCACAGGCCATCTTTTAACAGTAATAATGTCTCTCCATGAATTTTTATTCCTATTTAAATTAATCTATCAGAGTTTTGTAGCTCTTTTCATCAATTTTTTGTTGTTGTACATAATACTTTTTTAATTCAATTTTTATTGCTTAAATTTGCTCTTGACCTAAGTTGAACTGATAGGATATAACGTTTGATTCATGCTCTTAAATAATAAAAAGCATTTCAATATGATAACCTTTCAAAATAAATTATTTAAAATTCTAAAATATGACAGTATTATCTCAAATGACATCTGGTATTAATAACAAAAGCTGAAAATTGTAATATTTGTTTTAAAAATACTGGAGTAATTAAGATCTTAAAAAATAAAAATTAATTTGGATTTATGAAGGTGTTACCCATTAATGATGTTCTTAAAGCATTCCTTTTCATTATTTTATTTCAAATGCATTACGTTTGTGTTGCAATCATTTTTTGAAATAAGTTCTGTTGTTTTTTTTGCCTTGCCTCAGTTATTAGCATTGATTTTTTTAACTCTGACAGTTAAATAGAAAGTAACAGCTCATTTCAAATATTCTGACCACCCATGAAGTTTTTCTATATTTCACATTAATTTTAAATATAATTAACAGACAGAAGCTATTACCTCTGTGAAAGCCAAAAGTGGAAGTCGTCGTTGGGGTCCAGGGTTTCTACCTGACCTTGTTTGTATTTTATGTTGGGTTGATGGAGAACCTGCTGGAAACATCACTGTAATGTCTGTAAACTCCTCTTATGGACTGTAAGTTTCCTTTCTTCTCTTCTAAAATTTGTTTATCAGCATGATCAGCTTTTAAGGCATGTTTCTTACGTGTATACATCCACACTAAATAAATCTATATAAATGAAAAGTGAGTCAATTCGTTTGTTCAGATTCTTTTTTCCTATACTTAGAACTTTATTACAAAAAGAAAAGGTGGACAGGGGTCGTCTGTCTCCTCTCTGACCCACAAAACTTGCTTCTTCAAAGCTTGCTCTGCTGTAGGGCAGGCTGGACTAAAAGTGGCATACACAGATAGAACACCCTCAGACCACAGGCAGGCTAGTTTCCTGCACATTCTCAGGGCTAGACACCAATTTAAATGTGTCAGAAATTCTTATTCATGATCCCTAACCTATGCCTGACCTTGTGTAGATTTTCCCTCAGCTTAGTGTATCAGCAGATGTTCACTGATATATTTGTAAATGGATTTTTTTAAATAATACTTTTACACTTATTTAAACCACTTTATGTTTAATTTCAAATTAGTGAGATGTATAAAGTAATTTTGTATTTTTCCAGTTTGGCTTTTGGCAATGAATCAGGGTTGGCTATAGTAGATTATTTACAAAAGACCTGCCTGCTTAACTTGGGCACACCAGACTTATATGGTAAGATTACTTAATTCAACAAAAAGAATAAGCACAACTGTTTAAATGTTAGCACAGCAACAAAAAATGTGGTCAGTATAAATAATGTATAAACATCTAGGTCAAATATTTAGACCCCCAGCTCATGTAAACTACTAAAAATACATTAAGTTTGAGCTGCATAACACTTAATTCCTATCTTTTTAGACTGGTTAACTCTTTACCCTACTAAACACTTACCCCCAATTTACTTTCACTAAGTTTAGTTTTAATTTTTCTGCAACATTTATATTCAATTAATTTTTAAGGCTTTGATAATTTGAAATAGACAATGTGCATATCTTTAGGTTCAATGGACCCATACCAAAGAGCACCAAGATCCCCTCGCTCTAAAAGAAACCCAGGTGAAAGCCTAGTTCAAGGTACAACAGAAGACTGCAAATCTCCTACTGTAGATCAGGTTAGTTTAAAACTATCCAGAAAAAACAATTTTTGTATCATTCAAACAGCAAAAAAATATTTTTTTTTGCTTCATTTTTCAGAGAAAAAAATTGAAATGTACATTTTAAATAGATTTAGAAAGAAAGAAAATATTCTGAGCATTAAAATAATTCATTTAGTAGTAATTACATAAGCTTAAAAGAAAGAAATAAATAATGAAATTTACTATTAATAATATTCTTAGGAATGGTTGAAAGTAATTGGGCACAAATTAAAGCTAAGCACATTTTATCCTCAGGATATTTTTAATTTTATCCACACAAAAAATACATTTTAAAAAATAATAAATTATTTAGTAATTTCCTTATGCATGTTTTAAATGTTGTTTAGATACTACATTTTTTATTTTAATACTGTTTTAAGGTTACTCATTTAATCATTTTTATAAGGGATTTGTAACCACTTAAACCTCAAAATATTGAAGAAACATCTAATTTAACATTCAATGAAAAATTTTGAGGGAGCTGATAACGTTCTAAAAGTCTTAGAAATATTTTATTTTTGTGTTTAATATTTTAAAATAATTATTATTTAACAATTTATGTTTCAGTTTTTCATTTAGCTAGAAATAACATTAAATTTCATGTCTTTAACTACAGTGGATTCAGAATATATGAAAAATTTGAAACGTATATATTTTTTCAGTGCTTTGTATTTTAGCTATAAAAATATTTCTCCAGACTTGAAATTTACAATTAATTTTTGGGGAAATAAAAATATATGATATATAACAAGTTTATCACCCTTTTGAGCTGACATTTACTCAGTTTAAAAGGACTTCAATTAATCCCAAGTTAAAATATAACATTTTTAACAAAGTATTGAAACTTGTGATCTTTTTTTATCAAATGCCCGTGGGAGCAAACCTTATTTAAAAAGCATGCACTTTGTTAAAATGGTTGTTTCTCAATCACTCTCATTTTAAAACTGCATTATAAAAACAACTGTTATGACAAGAGTTACTGAAATCTATTAAAACATATTTCTGTATTTAGAAGTATTCAGAACTAAATTGTAATTAACCAGATATGCATGTAATAAGGTATAAAAGAAGCATTTAATAATAAAAACTCTGATTCCACTGAAGTTATGAAAAAACAATATTTTAAATTTTAACTACATTTTTATATGGTTTTTTTTTTTTTTACTCTTTCATGTCAGATTAGCTTTTCATTGTTGAGTTAGTTCATCAAGCATTCATTTTTCAATGTATTTGCGCCTTGTTGGTTTCAGTCAGGTCCAAACCTCTCACTTAGCCCAGGAACTAGCAGAGGGGGCACTTCTAACAGTTTATTCCCTCTCACTTCAAGTAATGTTCCAAGTTTTAAGGTGTCAGAAACCTGTGATGAGACCAGCATAACTCCCAGAATACACCAAACTCTGTCCAAGTCAAAGTCTTTAACTCAAACCCTGGTCCCTCCTGTGATAAAGCCTCCCAAGCAGCAGCAAAATAAACCTTCTACCCATTTAGCTGTGGTTAAGTCACTTTCACTAGGCTCACCAGATCAAGAACTATCAATTCCATCACTTTCCCTTGACCTTTCAAGCCCACAATACAAATCCCTGAACAATCCTACACCCCCTCTAATGGTCCCTGATGATGAGTCTAAAGTTACTTCGCTCAACCCCTTTGATGAAGATTACTTTGGAGATAAAGATAAGGCTCTCCTAAATGAAACTCCAAAACCACCACCTAGAACTAAAAACAAGCAGCGTGCTCTTGTTCATCAGCCAGCTCTTGATCTACCTCCATCACCCAAGCAAGAATCAAGCTCTTCTCCTGTCAGCTCATTTCCACAACCTGTCTCGGAAATTAAATCTATCCAATCTCTATCTCCATCAACGCTCACACCTGTTATCTATCTTCCTCGATCAAACAGTGAGGCCGGTGAAAAGGGTTTGAGATGTCCAAAGACTGAAAAATCCACTTCATTTGAGAATCCTTCACTCCTCTGTCCCACAATACCATCAAAACCAAAAAGTGTCAGTACAGGTGACCTACCCTCTGCCCAATGCAGGCGCAATAGTACTTCATCTGATATACTGAGAAAGGAGGCAGCTGCAAAAACAATGTCTGATCCTAAAAGTTGCAGAGAAACCTCAGACCGAGAGAAAGAAGCTGGAGAAAATCTTAGAAAGTCATCATCTGATAGCCACTTATCAGCTACTGATTCAATTCAAGTGTTGCAGTTTTCTGGTCAAGCTGCTGACTCCAACAAAAATTGGTTCTTCAAGAAAATTCAAAGAAGATCCAAAAAGAAAAAGAAAGGAGATGAGGAATTGATGGGCAGCAACAAAATTGCCTCAAATCAAAAGAATGAGGTGAATGAGGTTATGGAAGAAGACTTGGACCAAGTGAATAGTGTGGAAAAATTTGAGCTCAATGTACTTGAAGTTAATGGCTTAGATGCTAATGTATATACTAGAGAAAATAATGATTTGGATCAAGTAGACGGCCCAGATAATGGTGTGAGAAGTCCAGGGAGTAGCAAGAATTTTTTTAGTAGAGTTAGCCTGAAAATCAAGTCCTTAGGTTCACGTAAATCTTCTGAAGAGGAAGAACGAGAAACGGCACAATCACAACCAATGTCAGCTCATAAATTTCAACAAAAGTCTCAAGATAGGCAGCCGAAAGTAAAAATAGAAGTCCTTGATATGACTGATGATCTTGCACGAAAACATAGCATGAGGAAAGTGTACCTTTCAGATGTGATGCTGTCACTAAGAGCAGTTGGTAGGTAGTCATATTTTTGGGGGCTCTTTCTTGGCCTTTCGAGTGCTCATAAACTACTAACAGCTTGAATTCACATTTTTAATTATAACAGTTTACATGTTTGACATAATTTTTCTTTAGTTTTTCAGATTAGATTTTCTTTATTACAGAATTTCTCTGTTTTAGAGCAAATTTTTCTTTCCTACACATAGCCTCATCCGGGTTATTGTTTTTTTTATCTGATAATTCATAGAATTTTTTTTTCAACAGCATGAGAAGTCCATTTTCAACAGGAGCACCAAGCATGAATGTCCTTGTTGTTTCTTTTTTTGTTGTTTGTTTTTTTTTTTTTAACCTATACCCATTGCCTGGTGTTAATTGTTAATTGAATTTCAATTTATTTACTTCTACTTTTATTCACCAATTTATATACTTATACATCTTTTTCAGGGTGAGCTTTTTGAGTCATCACACTTTTTCTTGTATGAGGATGTCAGGTCTCGTCATGGGCACCAAGGCATGAATGCATCAGATTACTTATTATTTCCTAGCAATAAAGAATAGTCAGATTTGATCCCGTTATCTATTTAAATGTGTTTTCCATTTTTAAAGTTTATACTTCTCTAGCAAGCCAGTGAATTAAAGCTTATTTTGTCTGACTGCTTTACAATGCAACTATATAAACTATATCAAAGGGCTATTGCACATTCTGTTATGCTAGTCTGCAGGTGGTCTAGAAAGAGAAGAATTTAACTGGTATGTTAAAATTGTGTTCTCATATAATATCAGTTACCTAGGTGGCATTTCATTCATGCATTGGCCCCAGCAAGAAAATACTTCTTTTCTTTTACTATTATTTTGTTTAATTTTTTTATTTGGACCACTATTTTGCTTTTTGTCTGGGTTGTTGTGGGAATTGTCCAGCATTTGGTTTGGAAATCAGCTACAGTTTTTGTTTGAAAAGGTTCCATGTCCTGCTCCCTAGTTCTGTGCCTTGTGAATTGTTGTAAGCCTTGTTCTTGAGTCTGTAGTGTCAACATTTGCAGCTGTGCTAAGATTTATATAGCAAAAAAGCTGCCTCTATTTTTATGGATAATGAAATGTTCTTTGAAGTCTAAAAAGTATGATTATTGCTTGGAGTAGATAGATTATCCATCCATTTACTGTTGTCACAGTCCACTCTTAGAATGACATTTTGTACTTAAAAGTTGACACTTCAATGTCCAGTGTAAGTCTTCCAAAAGCTTAAAGTTAAAACACTTGATCTTTGCAATGTTTTCTCACAGCCATGTAATTTAATTTAAAATAGAAAGTATTGTATTGCCTTTGATCACTACCTGTTTAAAAGTTGTGAGCTAAGCATTATAGACCACAACAGCTCAAGCAGTCGTACCACTATTATAATTCCACCTACAGCCCTATGATTTAATCCTACCCTTTTTATTATTCTTTATTAACTGCTGTTAATATATTGCTAGCCAACTAAGATTAGCTATATCTGTATGCATTTATGTATTGAGCAAATTATTTTTCTGGATGATTTTTTTTTTGTTGTTGCACTAGATGCCCATGTGTAGTGTTATGATTGGATTAGAGTTTTAATAGATTTTGAACGCAGTCATAATTTCCATGACTTGATCATGACCCTGTCCCAGTTTGTTTTGTTTTTTTTTGGTTGTTTTTTAAAATTTAATTCAACTAAATTCTTTTATCTTCTGTTATTTTGTTTCACATACCAGGTTGATAGTTTTTATAGGTTATTTACATTTGGTTTACCTTCCATGGCTTATAACTTGTCTTCTCTGCAGCATAAAAAAGCTTGATCAACCAGAGAATTGAACAATGACTACATCAAGACGTAGAGGACCAATTTGAAATCCCTTTTGTCTCTCTATGAGAATTAATAAATCAATTTGTGAAAATATCTACTTTTTTCTATTCATTTTCTCCCTTCCCCTCTTCATTCTCCTCCCCACTGGACACACTCTTTAGATAAATGGCGACTGTCTGAGCCCTACCACTCCAGGGACTAAAATTGCCAGGAAACAACTATCTGCAGAAACACGTCGCCCCAAGGGTCAAGGCGCCCGCAAATTACAAAGAGTTCACAGTGTGGCATCTATGGACGAGCCTTTCAGTAGCGGAGGTGCATTGTCAGCTTAACACAATGTTCTGTCGGCTGTTCAGTCTCTTACTCTTTCTCTATTCGTGTCCTGTGCGTGGCATCTGTTCATTCCTTTACCTATTTAACCATAACTTTTTTTTTTTATATAATTTTTTTTTTATTTTAAACAATAACCCACTGAAAGCACTGCCACGTTCCAGTTTATTGTTGTCATATCTGGTACCGGTTCCATTATTGTTTCCTAGGTTCAACTCATTCTTTTGGTTATCTTGATTCATTTACCTTTTTTAATGTACTTTATTTCTAGCATTTTGATTTAACCCATTTATTTTGCTTTCAGTCAGTTTTAAGTTCATTTAAAATTATTTCATCTTTCAAAATTGATTCCCAAGTGAAATGTGAAACTTTGCCTATTCATAGTCTTTTTTTTCTTTTTTTTATCAATAATATAAAATTTTAATTTTTAGTGTCCAATAGTGCAGGTAAAATAGTGTCCACTCTATTTGTAGTGAGCTTTTATTGTTAGAATCAGTACTTTCTTTATGTGAACTTCTTTGTCAAATATCTGGTAATTTGGAACCTGTCATGTGACGCACACAATACTGACAATTTGAATAGGCAAAAGTTTGTTTTATTTGATTTTCCTATTTCACTGTGTTTATTATAATATAAAATATATTGCTATTACAAAAAATCTTACAATGAGGAAGTCTCTTTTGCAGAACAGTAAATGCAATAATGAAAAATAAAGATTCAATTTTACGTATCAAAGATATTTTAATTGAAGAACACACTGTTGTTGGAGATGTCATCTTGGGAGAGGGGTGGGGGGTCCTTTATGATCCCATCAACTGTTTTAAAAGGAAAAAATGTATCTTCTTGTAATAATGTCAATGTCATTAAATATTTGAAAAAGCTCATGAAACAATTACCAATGTTTTCCATAAATACCACTTTGAATCTAGCCCTTTATTACCAAAATGTTCAATTTTTATTTCATTTAATCTGATTATTATTATGAGCTCTAATCTTTCAATTACAGATTTTTATAAAAATAAACAAAAACAATCTTACTAGAGTTTGCTTTGTACACTCAAGTGGATGCTTGCATGGCTTAAACTGTATTTTAAAAAAATATAATTTCAATACTGTAAAGTAGCTGAAGGTTGCTTCCACACATATTTGGAAGGGATAAAATAACAAAGAAAGCATGTTTCTCTGTGAGCAAATATCTTTTAAATGACAAAGTCTTGATAAACTTTTGACCTAAACATTTTTGCAGTTTCCTGCTTATTGAAACAGATTAGAGTTAGAGCATACACATTACGCACTAAATAATATACTAAACAGACAAATTTCTGAAGACTTCTGTGCTGTTGATTGGACCTAAATTTCCCTATTTTTCTCATGTCCATTAGTTTTAATCTCTGTGGTCACTATGATCCAGTTTATTTGAAAATAATCGGATCTGTGTGAGCAGCCATCAGGTGCACTTAATTTGACAGATTTTTATTTCCTCATATATACTTTGTTGTCATTTTAATCTCATCCTTATTTGCTTTAATTTAATTTTAAGTGGCTGCTGAATTGACTGGCATCATACAAAGGACTTGCCATTTTTTATATTTTTTACATCTTAGTCTATAAATAATATATTAATGTCACTATTCTTTATGTTGTTAATAGAGCTGTATATTTTGACACCTATATGTTTTATTTACTTGGTAACTTAATTTATACTAATCCCCTTCTATTTCGACAAGCACTTTCATATATATCAAGGATTATTGGTTTAAAGTTAATGTCATATTTTTATATATTGCTTACTCGTGCTGATTAAATTAGTGTTTTAGTAGCACTAAGAATGGAGTTAAAATACCTAAAACTTATTTTCAATCTGGGTTTGTTTTTTTCTTCACATTTCTGTTAAGTCTTTCATATTTTTTGTTAAATGCCATTGTTTTCTTGGTAGTTATGGGGTTGTTGCAAGCTGTTGAAAACCTCATTATTTGTATTTTAAAAGAATAAAAATTTTCAACCAGGAACTTAGGTTTTATAATATTATTTAATAATGCAAAAAATTAAAGGGTGTAACAGAGCATTAAATAAAAAAAAATTTTTTAGCATTTAAGCCGTATTAAGTATTTTTATCAGTTATTCAAAGGCCTATTTAAAATGTAGGGTAGATATATATATATATATATATATATATTCCATACTTATAAGTATTTGTATTTTCTAATATTTCTTTTTCATGTTATTTTCTGTTTCTCTTAGACAAGACAGATGGCTCATCATTCTCCCGCTCACGCAGCTCAAGCATGTCTAGCTTGGACAATGTTACAAAGGAAGCTATTCAGTGTTTAGTCTTTGCTGACTCTTACACACGCAAGCAAGGTTAGTTTGAGAACTTCTTAATATATGTGTTATCACATCAAACAACCTTCTGGCATGAGAAATTGTGAAAAAAATGTGTTAGTATATATTAATCTGTAGTTTTTTTTTAATGGGGTGCCACAGCACCCTGGGATACCCCATGAGTAAAAGCATCCTTAACTTACAATAAAACATCCAGCCAAAATAAAAGCGTGTATTATTATATCAATTAGCTGAATTTCCAAATTCAATATTAATTTTGATAATAATTTTATAAGATTAAAAAAAATTATTTGCAAAATGTATATATTTAAAAAACAAGTTTCTTAGCTCATATTGATTTTCCTTCTGGATTCAAGTGTAAGCAGTTTCACGGGCAAAATGGAAAATTCACTTCTGGAATACGAGTTGTTTTAGAACACCATGACCTGTTCCTGTTTTAGAAAGGTGTAGAACTGCAACTGCAAGATAGTCTTGCAGCAGCACGTTGAAATTTGGCCCAGGATTTCCAGCCACTTCACAAATTTTAGAAAATAAGACCTTTGCCCAATACGCTGGTCACTTTAAGAAAATCAAACTTTGGCCATTTTGTTCTTTGGTCAGCCAATTCAAGAATCGGCAGAACATTGAGCTTTAGCCATAACATGTATATATATATATAATATAAATCTTCATTTCAGCAGTGTTCTTTTATATTTCAGATAATGAGACTTCCCCATGCTTATGGGTTGGCACCAGCTTGGGTTCAGTTATAGTCATTGTTTTGGTTCTGCAACCCGATCAGCGTCTCTCCCAACCTGTGATAGTGTCTCCTAGTGGTATAATTATATTTCTTAATATCATAAAGTTTGTAATCATGAAAGTGTATTAAATCTTGTATTTTAAATCTGTTAACTGTAGCAAATTAAAGTAATAAAATTTCCTAATCAAGCTAATAAAATGTCCTAATGTCTTTAAACATCAAAGAAATACTAAGTTAGCAAATACATAAAAATGGCAACTGTAAACTTGATTGTTTAATTTTTATTTTATGTTTTAAATAAAACATATATTTTTTTTATTTTACCTTATTAGCCTCAAACTTATCATAGGACAATTTAGAAATGGTAAAATAGTAGAGTCATATATGAAGTTCAAAACATTTGTCAATAAAGAAAGAAAGAAATGCATTTGAAAAGGGCCATTTGAAAAGTCACACATTAAAATTAATTTACATATCTATGCTCATAGATTGTTTTAATGTTTAAATAATTTTTAACAGGTTCCCTCTATAGAATGAAAGGAGCCATTGTCTGTATGTCATTTCTGGATTTCAAAGGAGGCCTCATACCTGCTTTGAGTGAGCAATGGAGAGATAACCGTGACAACAGAGATATAACTGAAAGAATGAGTAACAAAGCTGCAAGTCGTGAGTGATTTCATTTGTTAACCCTTTTAAGTCATCATTTTCAGCTCACATAAATAAAATAATAATAATTTTAAGTTTTTTTTTCCTCAAACACTTATTGGCCAGAGTGAAAATTATACCCATCAATTTCTGATACCACTTGTAAATAGTAGAGATTTTATTTTTGAGATCTCTCTATCTCAATGAAATGATGGCGTGGTTTTTCATTGACACTCTTTTACATATATGGCTCTTAACAATTATGACTTTTTGTAACTTATGTATATGGGAATAGTGAACTGCAGGGCAACATAAATTTTTACTCACATAATTCTCACTGGCCTTTTTTAACTAGGTCACTAATCACTAGTGTTTTAAAAACTAACAGATATTCATTTCATACTTTTAATGCAGGACAAATGTCAGTGAGCAATTCCAAACCAAAAATCTCCCCCACTTCATCTACAGAAATAAATAATGACAGACAATTTGCTATCATCTGCTCAGAAAAACAAGCTAGGGTAAGTTTACTTAATTGTTTTAAAATAAATATATTTGGTTATGTTTGTCTCAAAGTTTCACAGACATTAATTTTCAAATGCTTATTATGTTTTTTAACAAGTGTTGGTTTGTTTGTTTATTTGTTTTTTTAAATAAAATTGTATTGTATTTTTTCTTGCTGAATCTTCTCCATCTGTTTAAAAATAAACAAAATGCAGTAGTTTGTCTTCTTTTTACTAAATTACAGGCAATCTCATTGCCATCACAAACATGTGCTTTCAAAGTAAAAGTAACAGAAACTTCATTTGTTGTACGAGCAGAAGTTGTGGGAATGCGAGGTAAGGGTTATTTTATTTATATTTAACCTAGAGTTCTGATTCTCCTTACTTTATTACAGGATTTATTTGTTCGCACTTCTAGATGCGATAAATGTATTTTAAAAATATCTCGTATTGAATTTTTGAAAAAACAATATCTGTTTCAGAAAGCGTTTGCTTAATGTGTTATGTTGCCAATGGTCACATTGTGGCCTTCAGTCTGCCTAGCCTCAAGCCTTTATTTGATGCAGATTTCTTGCCATTAACTGACTACAGGTAAATTAATTTTATTTCAATCAATTTATTCCAGTGCCCAAAGAATGTAAAAGTAACATGTAACCTTGTTACAGAATACAGCTATGGAATTAAAGGAAATCTCAGTTCTTGCAAGACATTTTTAAATACATACACTGGCAAGTTAGCCCACGATATGTCCAATGCAAATTCACTGGTGGTGTCTTTTTAAGTAACTTCCATATGTATCACTAAAATACCCAAAACTAACAGAAAATTAATCCAGAAACCCATATCAGTCTAGATTATTCGGAGAGTAAATTGTAAAAGGAATCATATGGTATCATTTTGGAATTCTGTGAGCTATATGAAATGAATTTAACAAGACCTTTTTACAGTAGCTACAATTGTACTACAGTTGATCTTTCTTCAATTCACTCCCATACTGACTGTTGAGTCCTTGTATCATCTAAATAAATTTTTCAAGACCCATGAACCATCCTTTCAGTTTTTACAATATAAAGATATTTGAGTTTATGGACCTTAAAAATTCAAAGGTGGCCTGCGTATTTCTCTCTATAATACCTATTAAATGCATTAGTACCCTATTTTCCACTATTAGAACTTCAACTTTCTAAATATGTGGACATTAGCTGTGTACTAAATCCTGTGGTGAAGATGGTGAATTTAATAAGGTCACATGGGCCCAACCATAGACAGTTGAGAAACATGTTGAAAGATACAGGCACAGAATCGAAAGATTTATCATATTACACAGCAGTAAGGTGGCTAAGTTGTGAGAAAGTTCTAAGCAGAGTATTTAAGTTAAGAAAGGAAATAGGTGACTTCCTGGAAAGTACAAGCAAGCCACAGCCATTACTGTCTGATGAAGAGTTTGGTATGGAAATTAGCCTTTGCTGTAGAATAACTAGTCATTTAAATTTTATGAACCAAAAACTACAGGAGAGGAAAATCTAGTTTCTGATCTATACACCCACCTAAAGGCCTTCAGATCCAAACTCATCTTGTTTTTGGAACAAGTACAGACCAATAACTTGACACACTTTCAGCAGTGCAAGGTCTTCATGGCTGAAGCAACAGCAGAGTTCCCCTGTCATTTGCATGCAAGATCATCAAAGACCTCCAGCTGCAGTTTCAGCAGCGGTTTTTTGACTTGGATTCAAAGGCAAAAGAAGTGAGACTGTTTCAAAACCCATTTGAAGCAGATGTGGTCAGTTTCCCAGATGGTGCCGGCCATCCCAGCAGGCACATACCTCACCCCACAGAAGCTGGGTAGACTGATCAGAGCAAAACGCTCACTCAACACGGAGTTCACCACTGACTTTCCCATAAACAATTACACCAGAAAACATAGCAAATGCTTCAAAGTACCTCAGTGCAGTATCAACAATCTTTCTTCCCACACACAATAATAGCATGGAACAACCTGAACGATGCCTTTGTGAACTCGACATCAGTCGAAAGCTTCAAGGCTGCCCTGGCATCAGCTAGGAGCTGTTAGAATAGCAACATCATACCCCCAACCGTTGCAAAGATGCCTGTACATGGATGCAGCAACGAAACATTACCAGAACAGAACTGCAGCTAGAGGTCATTGAGTTGCAAGCAAATGACCTCCTTAGGGACAAGTTAAAAGGACTGGTGTGTTTACCGGTTTTGGCCCAAGGAAGACTTTTCTAATGTCAAAACTTTTGCATTAAGGTAGCTTTCAATCTTTTGAACAAATATGTGAAGAACAATTTGAGAACAAACTTGTCCGATGATAATCTCAGGTCATTGTTGATGTTAGGAATGTCAAACCTATTGCCAGAAATGTCTGCTATTTAGGCATCCAGGAAACAATTAAATAAATAATTAACAACAACAACATCCATGTTTTCATCTTTTTTATCTGGAGCGCGAGTGTGTAGTATGCCCCTGGACTGCAGTATGATAGCTAATGCAGCCCTAGGGCTAAAAAACTTGGAGACACCCCTCCCCCCCTCTGATCTATTACAAAGAAATCCCAATCATAAATAATGGAAGCCAGTTGAAAAACTTAAAATTTCCTAATTATTCCTGTTACTCATCAAATGACTTCTTTTTGCAGAGTAGCAAGAACATTTTGCTTTAGTAACAATGGCCATGCTATGTTTCTGTGCTCACCTTCTGAGATACAAAAAATTACTTACTCTGCTGAAATCTCGTAAGTTCAAAATCTCACATTGTAAATATATCAATATTCCTGTAACTGTTCTATAAGAGTGCTGTCAACAATATTTTTAAAAAACTTCATCAGTAGTGCTCTCAGTTTTGTTCATTATTGGAGTGTAATTGGCAGAAATATTTTTATAAGAATTAACTGATTGCAAATTTTTCTCATTTCTTATTCCATTTTTACATTTTATATAACTAGACATCAAGTAAATTCAGTGAAATAAAGTTATTCTATTTTTAATCATTTAAACTTTAGTTTTAAAGAACAGGTAGAGCAAAATGTTAATATACTGCATCATACTTTATTTTCTCTATTTGTTACATCTAAATTAATTGTAATAATTTATATCCCTTGCAAAGATGTTCTATTTTAATGAAGATTTAACAATGTCATTTTTTTCCATCTTGATTTCAGTGAAAATTTAAATGAAATGCTAGGGGAACTGTTTTTACCTAAAGAAACTCCAGAACCTCCAAAACAAGGATTTCTCAAAACCTTATTTGGTGGTGGGGTGACCACACTTGACAGAGAAGAACTATGTGAGTAATGTGCTATTTTGCTCATTACTGATAGTTACTATTTGAATGCTTTAAATTTGAAGTGCACATTTGTTTGTTTAATTTTGTTAGGTTCTCTGTAGCCAAATATTTTTCATTATTTTATAGAAACATCTAAATGTCGAAAAAGGGAAAACACATGTTGATAAACAATTTGTTAATATTGAGCCTTGTACAAATGTTAATTTTTATTATAGTAACCAATAACTTTTGTTTGCTTCGGTGCTGTATGACCAATTTTGTGACATAATTATTTCGTTCTACCTCGGAACCGTAGCGACAAAAATGAAGACAATTACAAATTTTCTTTACAAATGCATTCTCAAATGTTCCACCCAGCCGCATTTGAGTTTGACATTTTTTTATAAGATCTAGGAAGCTGCATTTGAAATATATTTAGAAATCATTAAGCAGCTGTACAATTATAGTACATTCACACTCATCTTCCCTGCTCCCAATACAGGTTGTGGTAGTTAGAGACTACAATATGTTACCAGAAAATTAAATCAGGTTTCTAGACTTAATGCAGCTATAGGCAACCTGCCGCTTCCACGTTAGATACTTTGGACAGCTGGACATATCACAATTAAATGTATATCTTCATTCAATTAGCCATTATATTCATTTTTGGCTTAAACACACAATTGAAATATATGTTTATCAATATACATCACTTCAGCCTCAAGTGTAGCTGAAGAGGCTGCATCAAAAGGTAACCTTAAGGGACCTGTACAATGCAACAAAGAGGCTGACAGGAAAGTTTCATCAGCAAAGCAGGCCAATCAAAGACAAATTGGGGAAAAAACTAACAAACAAATATGAACAAAAGAAAAGATGGCTTGAATATTTCAAATAATTACTTAACAGGCCAGCCCTACAAGAACCACCTGAAATTCTCCCTGCAGATGAAGATCTACTCATTGACTGCAATGTACCCAACAGAACAGAAATTAAAAGTGTGATCAAAATATTGAAAAATGGAAAGGCTGCTGGCCCTGATGGAATACCTGCAGAAGTACTAAAGATAGACTTGGAACTGTCGTCAAGCATACTTCACCAGCTGTGACTATCTGGGACAAAGAAGAGATACCCATGGAGTGGAGGGAAGGATACTTGGTCAAACTTCCAAAGAAAGGAGATCTCCAAGAGTATGGAAACTTTTAGAGGAATCATGCTGCTTTCTGTACCAGGAAAAATACTAAATAGAATTATTCTGCAGAGAATAAAAAAAGCGATAGACTCCAAACTAAGAGATGAACAGGCTGGTTTTAGAGAAAACAGATCATGTACTGACCAAATAGCAACCCTGCGCATAATCATGGAACAGTGCTTGGAGTGGAATGCATCGTTGTTCTTAATTTTGTCGACTTCGAAAAAGCATTTGTCAGCTTAGACAGCGATACACTCTGGAAACTACTAAGACATTATGGTATTCCTCAAAAGCTAACTAACTTAGTTAAGAACACATACAAGGATATGAGTTGCACGGTTATACATGAATGAAGGTGAACTCACAAACCCATTTATAATAGAATCTGGAGTAAGACAGGGATGCCTGCTCTCACCATTCCTCTTTCTGTTATCCATTGACTGGATCATGAGAGAAACAACACAAGATGGGGAAAATGGAATCCAGTGGACACCTTTCAAATAGTTAGAGGATTTGGATTTTGCAGATGACATTGCACTTTTATCACATAGCCATTAACAAATGCAGGAGAAAACAACAAAACTTGACTCTGTATCCCAGCAAGTTGGACTTAGCATAAAACTTAGCATAAATAAGGGAAAACCAAGACCGTAAGAATAAATGCAGTGGATGATGGAGTCATTGGGAGAGAAGCCTCTCTTGAAGAAGGTGAGACTTTTACATACCTGGGAAGCATCATAAATAAAAATTGTGGCACAGAAGAGAACATAAAGTCTAGGGTCCAAAAGGCCAGAAGAGCATTCAATGCCCTGCAAAACACCTGGAACTCAAGTGAAATACTGACAAAACAAAGTTTAAAATATTCAACTCAAATGTCAAGGCACATCTTCTTTATGGCTGTGAAACTTGGAGCACAACAAAAACAAACATTAAAAAACTGCAGGTTTTTATAAATAGATGCTTGCAAAGGATCCTCAAAAAACTATGAGAATTTGACAAAATTTGTAACACTGTCCTTTGGGAGAGATCATCAAGTGTTCCGGTGGAAACGGAGATAAAAATGAGAAAATGGAGATGGATAGAGCACACATTAAGGAAACCAAACACTAACATCACAAGACAAGCCCTGGACTGGAATCCTCAAGGTACCAGGAAAAGAGGAAGACCAAGAGCCACATGGAAGAGGGGAGTAGAGACAGAGATGAAGAGAATGAAGAAAAGCTGGGCTGAATTGGCAAAGAAATCCCAGGACAGGGACAGATGAAAAAGTATTGTGGATGGCCTATGCTCCATTGGGAGTGAGAATGGCTAAGACGAAGAAAAATATACACCACATCGTCATCTTTTCTATCAAAGTGACAAATGATGGGCACCTTTTTATGTGCAATAATTCACTGTAACATAAATATATAAATGTCAGTCATCTAATTTAAGAAGTAACTTTTATTAGACATGCGATGGAAATTTTTATTGTATTCATTATATTGTATGTCTATTTATTTTACTATTACAATACGGTAGTGTATGATTTTTTAGATGGTTAAGTACTATTCTTAGACTATATTTTACCATTTTGGGGGTTCCAGTGTAACCAGGCCTGTAGCAGCCAATCCTAGTATTAATGGAATTTTAAAACATTAATTATGTGAAGATGAAATAACAATTATTTAAGGTGTTTAAGTTGTCAATTAATTTATTTTTAGATAGGAGAGGACATTCACTTCTGATGAATTATCTATATTAGTTTTAAGACTTTAAATTTCACCCCATTGAAATCCTTATTTTCCATTTAAATATGATGAAACTTAAAGGAAATTTCTGTTAAAATTATTGTGTCATTCAATTTTTCAGTTGGTGAAGCTAGTGGTAAAGCATCCAAAGGTCTGGCCAAACACATACCAGGGTCTGGCAATCTCCAGCACCTTTCTCAGCAAGCCAGTGCTTCTAGTAGTGAATTTACTCGAACCAGATTAGTAAGTTCTCCCTGACTGATTTGCTTGGTTTCACTTTTGTTTTTAATTTTTTAATCAATTTAAAGTTACAGCACCATTGTTATACCTTTACCTATAGGTATTATTTTCTTAATCATTGGTTGTTTTTTTAATTTGCAGTGTAACTTACCTAATATACTAGTTGTTTTTTTGTTTATCTGTATAATTGTGCTCAGTGTGATGCTCAGACAATATATTTATGATGCACTAAAATATACAAGATGGACAAAAGAGCAAACTATTTTAGAGCATAATATCTAAAGAATCATTAATTCAGAAATATATAAATAAATAATAAGTTCATCTAACAAATTGGTTATTTAAGGAGATTTTCACTTACATTTGCAGATCAGCACATATGAATATATAGCAGATGAAATAAAAAGAAATAAATTAATATTAAAAATGCCTAAAACATTTCAATACATTTTAATCACTGTTGGAGATGATATATCTGGGAAAATCCCAAGCTATCAGTACTCTGTTAAACATTCATTTATAGCAAGGTAAAACAGATTGCATATATTATAATGGACATACATATATTATAATGGACATCATACCTTTGCAATAAACACATTGCTTAAAAATCTTGATTCTGTGTATTCTTAGTGTTTTATAAGTGATAATATACAGTAGGGTTTTTAGAACTGATACACATGCATAATAAAGTATCTTGATGAAATATTGAAAAACATAAATTAAATAAAATTACCAACACCTATTTCTTTCTACAAACATGTGGGATAACATTTAGGAAGGAAGAAAAAAAACATGCTATAATGGGTGCACAGCAAAGGGGAATTTTTCAACAATTGTTTAATTTTTGCTCTTTTGTACAGAATAGTTAATATTTATTTGCTCTATATTGAAAAGATATTTTAAAATTTAAGTTTGTGTTTGGTCTCATGGTGATGCAGCTTGTCCTGTCATAATTTAATAAGATGAAAATTAAATTATCATGATTTACTCGCTGATTAATACTGTTATCGACCTAATTTTTTTTCATCGTAGAGCTTAAGTGTTACAGTACTTCTCTGCCCCCTTTTGGTATGATATTGATGTCACCAATTAAATATGTAATGCTGTACCATTGCCCACCTCTCCTTTCATTGGGAAAATGTTGTTTACATTCTAACTTGTTCTAAAGAATGCTATCGCGTGATTCGATTTCTAGAATTTCTTTTCTGGAGGGGTCTAAAACCCTCCCTACCCTCCCTATAAATAAGCTGGCAGCTTTTCCAGATGGGAGAGATTAGTGCTAGATTTCCTAGACATGAAACGGATGAGACTTAATTTATAAATAGGAGCCATACAAAATTTCACAGTGTTTGTGTATATATCAATATTTGTATCTTTCGAGGATTATACTATTTCACTTGCTGTGCTGTAATTTAATATAGTTTTTGTTTCTATTTTTAATTTTTAATTTAAATTTAATAGAATAATTATATGGAATATTGTCAATATAACTAGCTTTGGTATAGTTTTTCTTTGTGCACTGGTTTTCAGTACTATGTTACATATAGTTCATCTAATGAGCTAAATCTTAAAACATTAAATTTGCAAATAAAACAGTATGTAACAATACAATGTTATTGGTTATATTAATTTAGGTCTGTTATGCTCTGGAAAGTTAAAATCATTCCTTATCTTTACAGTTGCTGTCTGAAAGGGGTGAAAAGATAGGAGACTTGGAAGACAGGTCAGCCCAGATGATGAACAGTGCAGAACAATTTGCTTCTGCTGCGCATAATGTCATGCTCAAGTGTAAAGACAAGAAGTGGTATCAGTTCTAATGAAGCCAAAAATGTGATTAACCCTCAAACTATGATCTTCTTAAGCTATCAGAAAATGATTATATGAAAGCATGTGGAACTACTGTTGCAAGTGTCATGGTCTACTGAAGAATACATATTCTTTCTTGTTAAAATCCCATTTGTTAACCCTGACTTTGAGCTCTCTTTGTGATTCCCTGCAGCTTTCTTGAGTGCTCTTAGCGCAGTTGGTGACAAGATTTGATCACTAGAATCACATGATGCAACCAATATCCATTACTGGTCATGCAAACATTTTTGAACATTGATGCAATCAGCAAAGAAGTAACATTGCTGACAATTGCATTGGGAGTAACTTGTGTAACTGACCAACAAGTACTTTGCATTACATGAACTGCACTTCACAAAACATACAGCAAGAGATAAAGGTCCTTTTTGAGTCGTATGTTGTTTTGGTTATTTTATCATTAAGGACTTTTAAAAATTGTTAATTGAATGTATTTTGTTTCTTTTAATTGATGATTAAATTCAATTTAATTGTTCTAATTTTAAAGTGTTTTAACAAAGTAGTATTTAAAGCTTCATTTATAGATCTGTTCTTCTTGGAAATGGGTTTGTTTACTTAAAGTCATGTGATCCTGAATGCTATTAATTCTTTTTCTTAAAATAGAAACTTTGAAAAAAGCTTTTAATTACTGTGTTAAATTTTTTACATGGGCAATAAAAAGTCAATCATATTATGTCATAATATATCTATTGAAAATACAATTTTTTTAAAGGCAGTTAATTCAATAGACTAATTTAAGATGGTCATTATAAAATAGTACATTATGGATAATCAATGAAGATTTGAAATGCAATGATAAAAATATAGCAACAAGTATTGTATATAAAATTGAAACCCATTTCTTGTAGAAGCAACAGCAATGTTGTTATGATTAACATTCCTAAATGCTAAAATTCCTAAAATAAAACATTACCCATTTCTGTGATTTATTTAATTTTCTGAAATCTTTTAAGGCTGTATTATGTATTTAATAGCTTTTTACAAATCTCTTTGATGATGCCATTTTCAATGACCATAAGTTTATCAGTCATATTATAATAATAATAGATGCAACTGAATTATTTTTTAAAGATGAAAGTATAATATATTATCTGGCTTCAAACAAAAAACTTTTTGGAATTTGTTTCTGCATTATTAAATTTTTTTTACTAGGTAATCTGTGTACATTTACATTAGGATATTGTTTTGCAGATAATGCTCTAAATTGGGTTCTATATATGCTTATAAATTTAAATATCTATTACACCATTCTTTCATTCATCATAAAGATTATACACATTTTGCTTTTATTGAAAAATATGTATAAATATAATTGCTGACTTTAATGACTTTAAACTTTAATTTCTTTGAAAGTTCATTTTTTTAGCAAATATAAACGTTTTATTCTAGACAATTAATAAAGCTAATGTATGTTATTGAAAATGTCATTTTGAAATTAAACTTATTTGTAAATATTTAAACTTAACTTAATACACAACAAACAAAAAATTTGAATTGTAATGATTACTATTTATTTGTACATAAAATGTCAGATTCTGTTACTGAAAGGTTGGTTAGCTTTGTGGTTTTCTTGCTTTTTAAAAAAAAAACGTTAATACATCCTAATTTAAATTTATTGGGCCACCCTCAACATTCCTTGACTTTCCATTATCATAAACTAATTAAACTAAATAAAACTTGTAAAACTTATGACAAGAAACATAACTATTTTTTGTTGTCCGTTATAGTTATAAGAAGAGGTAGCACATAGATTTTGTTTGCTGGTAACTGGTAATAATTATAAAAAGTAAATAATTATTTTTCTTAGCTTTCCATGCAAATGAACAATTGTAATTACTAGCTTCTCATAATACTGACGCTCTAGCAGCTTCTTTATTGAGTTATAGTGCTTGTCTGGCATCATCAGTAAAAAATCAGGAGTGTTTAAGAATATATGATTGGACAGTTGAAGAGAAGTAGAAATCCTAAAATGTTTATTCAGCCTTTAAAGATTATTAAATAGCTATAGTTGATTAATTTCATGTTAACTGTTTTCCTGACATCCATCTTATTAAAATGTCATTGAAAGATGAAATGTATCCAGCATGTTTTATGTTGTCATGGTAGGAATATTATGTATCCCACCTTGTAATTTTAAATAGATCGGATCTGCTGAAGTACTGTGCAAACAAATATACTAACAAAGAGGTTGTATATGATTATTCTTAAATAATAGATTTCAGAGCTCTAACCTACATTTTATAATTTATATCATTCTAAGCCCTACAACTTATGTAAGCTAAATCTCTTTAATAAATTGACTGGGATCCAGTTCGTTAAATGTGAAATTAATTAGCTCTTCTTCGTCTGATCAGGGCCTTGTATTTGGAGCAATAACATTTATTATAAATTTTAGCATATTTAATTAATTTTCATTCCTTTTATAAAAATTGTGTAAATTTTATTCCTTGTCATATCTTTTTTAAAAACTATAGTTTTATTTATAGCTTATTTCCTTAGGATGTTTGCCAAAGCAGAAAAAAAAAATAAAAAATGTAAAATTGTAAGGCAAACTCAATGAATGTAACATCATCATTCACACCATTTATCCAAAGCAAAGTACAAATCACCTGAAATTTTTAAAAAAAAATTGTATTAATATTTAACTTTTTTAAAAAAATAAATGCAATCAGAGGACAATATAACTACTGTTCGTCCTAGACAAAGTGTATTTTTGCATCACAAGGGACATTACAAGATTTAATCAAATACACTAAAATATGAAGATTGATTTTGGCTTATAATTACACTAAAATATGAAGATTGATTTTGGCTTATAATTATATATGCTAAAATGCAAAATTATAGCATACATTCATTTAGATTTCCAGTAAGTGTTTCAGGCTCAACCTTTGCTTTTAAGCTACAACATTTTGCTTGCATTTTAAAAGTTGTAGAATGTGACAACAGATAATCAGTTTATAACAGCTGCTGTTTGTTAATTAGTTTAATATGACAACCTCAAATAAGGAAAATGTTAATTTTCAGTGGAATGATAAATTAGCATGATTTAAATAATCTTTTATCCATTTAGTTAAATGGAGAAAAAAAAATTGGATTACATTATTTTGATGAAGTTCTGTTGTTTCATTTATTTAATAAGATTTGTCAAGATTTCAAACATTAATTAACAATTTAATTAAAGTGGATAGTTGCCTCTCATGTGACCAAAAGTGCTGTGATTTTCATACCTACCGCTACCACAATGTCTATATAAAAACAACTACATGTATCTTAACTATATTAATGGTTTTGGGGTTCATTTTTTATTTCACAAAATTTAAATATTTCTATGTGACCAATTTTTTTTACCTGATGTGAATTTTCAATTAGTTATATCCACTGAAAAATGGATGTCTTTGCCATTAATGTATCAATTGTGTGCTGTTTTTTAAGGCTATATCAGTGTTATTAAAATAATAAAAAAGCTTTATACCTGTAACTACTGTGGAGTTGAAATTATACAATAGGAAATAAAATAAGTGATAAAAAATGTTTAATATTAAAGCTGTGTAATGTTCAGTTTTGTGCACAAATGTTTGTTGTTTTTTTTTTTGTTTTTTTTTTTGTTTTTTTTTCTTAAATGCACTAAACATAAAATATTAAAGGAAGCAAAACTAATCACAACAGAGCCTCATAAAATAAATGTGATTTGTAAGAGGAAATTAATTTCTTAAAATTAAGGAATTAACTAGTCATTAGAGAGATGAATTATCATTAACATTAATGAAAAAATACACTCATGAATATTATTATTGTAGCATTTTAAATTTCAGATGAAATGTATTTGAATTTTTAAAACTGTTCCAAATTTATGCCAATTCAAATCAGTACACAAAAAATGCAGAGCATCTTAATTCCTGTATATCATTTTACATCACTTATGTAAAGTTAATTTTTTAACTTATCTGTGCAATTAAAGACAGAGTTTACCACCATTGTTATCATTTACTCAACAGTTAATAGTTTTCATTATCATTGTGAAGAATTCTTACGGCATGTAGATAATGTATTGTGAGACGAGACCGCTTCTATTATGGTAGGCCCACTTGTTTTGTTTCTTGTAAGAAAGCAAATAATACTGGTATATTCTGCATTTACCTTTGGCTTTTTATGAACTAAGCAACTTTATGATCAACATAGTTTATAGTTTTAAGCTAGAAAGGTCCTCAAGACTTTGGAATACACTGTATACTCTGCTCAAACAATTGACAATTTTGTTGTAAATATTGGGGCTTAGATTTGTCATCTAGTCTTTGTGAATACTAGAACTAGCTCATTTTCAGTAATACAGAATATTGTGTGCTAATTTCATTGTGAAGTAGAATTCTTCCTTTTTATTGAACTGAAATTGGTTAATAATTTTTCACACCACATATTATTGTGCAATCTTATTTTCCAATGAAATATACACCTTTCCTTGTCAGTGATATTTGACTAAGGAATGTGAGATGTCTTATACAATTTATCAAAACTCCTTTGCAGGCTCACTTTTTGTGTTCAAATACATATATCACCTTGATTTATATAATAACACAAGTTGAGATGTAAGTATATTTTATATCATTTTTAAAATGAACTGAGCTCGATTGGAACTTTTTCAATTTGAAATTTTAGAATGAGACTAATTTATTAAATTTATTTTATGGTACTTTCATTTTTTAAATGGTTGTTATGAAGTAAACCCTATTTCAAGATGTTTTTGAGAATATTTTTTGTTGGTTAATTTTGAATCTGAAAGTGTATGAGTTTTATACTAAAATGTCCAGTTTATGCTTGGGAAAACAGGATTTCTTATGCCAGTACTATTGAAATTTTCTGGTCTGCAAATGTTGAGCAATTAAGCTTTTTAAAATTACAATCATCAATAAATTACACGCTTGTCACCACAATGTTTTACAAGTTTGCTTGAAATATTATGAGCAGTATATTATATAAATCACATTTTGACATTTTTATTACTAAACTCCTAATTGCAAGAGTTCATATTCATTGCAAACCTTTACCTTTTAATTTTCCCCTGAGGTAATTTCACGGATGCATTCAAAGGAAACCTCCTTTATTTATATATAAAATTAATAACAAAGCCAGTGATTAATTGGATAGTGATCTTTACCCCCCATAATGATTAATTATTTGTGAATTTTATCATAACCATCTTAAGAAAGTAAAATTTCTTGTTTGTTGGTGAAGGGTGGGGGGGGGGGGGAGGGGAGAACAAATGTTGATCTCCTATCAATGTTAAAAACTATTTATGGTGAGTGCCAGAGAGAAATACATTGAATGTCAAGACACACATTTTGAACCCATGACCTGATATTTTAGATGAGGGAGAACAAATGTTGATCTCCTATCAATGTTAAAAACTATTTATGGTGAGTGCCAGAGAGAAATACATTGAATGTCAAGACACACATTTTGAACCCATGCACTGATATTTGACTTGGTCTCTTTTTTTTTTTGAGGATATTAATGTATTTCTTTCTTTATAAAGTCTGTGCAATACAAGTTATTTCTTCTCTGCATATTATTTATAATGTCGTCTTTGTTAAAAAATATATATGGACCTCCCCTTTTGTAAATCATTTCGATCTTATAAATATTTATGAAACCTTTTGAAAAATTAAGGGATTTAATGGGGGGGTTTATTTGCTTCCTGGTTGATAAAAATAGATGGCTTTACTTCTAACTGCATTAGTCATATTCTGATAAATCATGTTATGAAATTAAAATTATTATTTGGATTAAACTTAAATACAGCATTTTCTTTCACTCAGAAAACAATGTTAATTGTTTCTAATCACCTTTTTTTATTTAAAAAAAAATAAATAAAAGTAAAAGGGTTATTGATTTTTTTTATCCATTTGTTTATAGATTTAGAAGAAATAAGATAAAAACCAAGACCACACTGTTCATATCATAAGGTATTGTAAAACAAAGGCAGTCTTTATGTCTTTATCTTTTTGCAAGTAGCTGACTCTTCTTGTGAAAAGAAGTGCTTGTAGGACTATGAAATAACATTTTCTGAGATGAAATCTACAAAGAATGGGTGCAAGGATGTTTCAAGTTTTATCTAATTAAATGTATTTCACTTAGGTATATTTTTTTAAACAGTACAAAGAAAACATCAGAACCAGAATTAACTTTATGATAGTGTACTTTAAATGTATAATATTAATTTTCTGCAATGGAAATATATTATGAAATGGCCACCACAGATATTTATTTTCACCCTCATCCTGCTTCTTTGAAACTTGATTACAATTGGAAATTTTTTTTTAATGTAACTCTGTTAAGAAAAAAAATTTGATTTCTGGATTTCCTATCATATATCCAAAGGCTGGCAAATTTTTTTGTTAATGTCCTAAAGAAATTTAAGATGTATAATGATAGAGATCAGTTTGACTAATGAATTAATTGTGAAACTGTGTAATAGCCTGATCTTCAGTAAATATGTTGATGTGTTTTACATGACTTGTTATTGTTTCCTTAAAACTGATAAAGACTATATTTGGAAATGTTTCTTTTGAATGTGTAAAAGCTGTTGCTTTGATTTCCCTAAGAAATGTGATGTGATTCTGAATTCCCAAGATTTATATATGGGTAGTTTAAATAAGTTATTCCTTTTTTAAAAAAAACTGATATCCTTTATATGTATGTCATGTTTCCTCTTTTTATTTCAACTATTCTGTAGTTGATCTACCCTACCCTTTCCTCCATATAACATTTAATGCCGATTTCCTTTCATTCTCTCATCCTCCCAATTTTGTCTTATTTTTCTTTTAGTCATGTAGACACAGTTAAACCAGTCTTCATGCACATGTGATTACTGTTATTCTTCCTCTTGCTACCATTGAATATTTTATCACAAGCTATGAGTACCCGGTAACAGTGTTAATAAAATTTTAAGTCATATCGAGGAAAAATATTGTATTGATTAAAACATTAAAGTTACATGAATTGAAAGTTTTTAAAAAATTTAAATAGTTAAAAAAATATAATTGTTTTTGCCAATTCATTCATATTTTAGATTCCATGGGCTTTTTAAAAAACTTTCTTTCATCTGTATACTTAGTGTTTTAGAATCCACAGGTGGAGGTTCTCAAATATCTTACAATGTAAAATATTTTATGAAGCATGTTGGGAAGTAACTGGTATCCTATTTTTTTATACTCTGTCAAATGTCAGCTTGCTTGTGACTTTTTCCTTGGGTCTTTTGTACCTTTGTAATTTTGATCTATGTCACAATAGCAAGAGGGCAATACTTTCTTTTGCAGTTATTGAATCCTGTATACATTTGTAGAAAGAAAACACTAATTAAAAAAAAAATTGATGTTTGTTTGTTTCTAGGTAATGGTAAGATTTTCTGTTTGAACTTAGTACTATGCCTTGAGAGTCAAGCAAATAGAACAAGCAGTGTAAAAAAACTTCTGCAGAGGAGTTAAAAATTCTTTCCTTTAAGTGGCTCATAAATAAAGGCCACATTAGGATTAGGAGCAATCAAAAGAGTCTGAGTTATTTGGACGTTGACTGAAACAAGAGTGGTGCAATCCCAAATGAGAATTATTTTGCTCGTCATCCAAGATTAATATAATTAGCGCATCCTCCATATATTTGGACATAGTGTAATTAGGTTATCTAAAACCGCTTAAAAAATAATGACATTTCTAGAATCTTCACTTGTTGCTTGTCAAAAATGCAGCTCAACAAAAAAAAAAGCAAATAATCTTTTTGGAAGATCCCCAATCCACACAATGCCATGTCTACTTCCCTACTATTTAGACATATGGGAGGTGACTCTAGATCAGTACTCCACATCATTTTATTCACTTACTGCACACCTAGCTGCTTCCCACATTTCCAAAGCACAACACAATTAAAACACATCTCGTAGAAGTGAAATTAATATTAGCTAGTAGATCTTTTAAAGCCTACAAGTGAACCAATATAAATATTTATTCACTATTGAACTGTGAAAATCAATAGAGAAGAAATGCAAGATTATTTTTTTTTTTTAACTGAAGGCTAATTATGTTTAATTGTACAATAAATAATGAGACATTTTAGCCTGTTTTCCTGAATATAATTGTTTCATAATTTGATCATCTGATAGAGCAGTGGTTCTCAACCTGGGGGTCCTATGACCCTTTCACAGGGGTTGCCTAAGACCCGTAAAACACATATACTCCACAGTTATAAAGTATCACCGAAAATAATTTTGTGGTTGGGTCACCACAAAGGAAATGTATTAAAGGGTCGCGGCATTAGAAAGGTTCAGAGCCACTGTGATAGAGAAAACACAAACTTTACCACCATTTGCTGCAAGCACAGCCGCCTAGCATTTTTTATTAGGAGTATAAAAACTTTATGCACCTATATAAGAGGTTGAAAATTTTAGCAGGACTGCTATAACCTCTTTAGAAATTCTAGAATATTTATCTTGACTAAAAGCCAGAAAAGTGGATCAAATTGTTTCTGAAATATTCTGTGCCAAGTCAAAGTTTTCAATTAATGTTTCCAAAACATCAATACAGCTGATTAATGCAAGTTGTTCTAATTCCTTAGCATTATTAGAATCATTGAATGATTTCCATAGGCCTACACGTTGGTTTAATAAGCTTTTCATAAATAGCATTTTTTTCTCTCTCTGACATGCCATTAATCTTGAAACTTTATAAGTACCTTCCAAAATCTTTTCAGAAACCTTAGAGAAGATACAATTTTTTAATTTGCATAAGACTTTGACTGAAAAATATTCATCTTTGCTGCCTCAGGATCAGGATTAGTTTGTGTTTTGTTTGATGTGTTTACACTACAGTGGTAAATTTTTTAACCACCAGCAATCAACACCTAGTTGAAGTATAACATAGTAGTCAGGAAAAGTGTTGGATCAAAGGCCAAAGCAACTGGGATATATTTTACTTGTCATTTCAAATTGGCTGAATGATTGAAATGGTGACTTGTCATGTGAGTCACCAAATTTAAACCTGCAGATGTTCTATGAAATTTGACTACACACCTTTGACAGTGTCATATTTACTCCTTTATCAAATTGATATTGTCTACATGTTTCTCATGGAGGAATTTTGTCACCACACACTTAGCATTGTCTCATGGCATAGCATTTGTGGAGCTCTGCTTTAGATGATTAGCGATTGCTAATACAAGGTGCAACTGGAAAATTTCCCATGTGGCACATATATTATTATAATAAATTAAAATTGCTTAGGAAAAACTGTACAAAAAGATGTGAACATTTAATGAAAACTTTTTATTCAATATATAGTATTTCTTTGCATAGACCAAAATACTAACTACTAAGTGTTTTCTTTTTTATCTTGGGAGAATAATATATTTAAAAAATTAGCATTATTTTAAAAAATAGCATTATTTTAAAAAATGGAATGTTCTTACTGTAATAATCATTACTTTGAATCAACATACTGAATGAAACACCAACAGTTTAATTATATTTTTTCTTCCTCCTAATAATTTAACATATATTAAATTTTAAAATAGCCAACATTAAAATTAAAGTTTTCAACAAACAAAAATTTGATGTATGCAAAAAACAATTCACACAAAATAATTCTAGATCTATTTTAAAAAGTTACAATTTTAGTTGAATACTACATATTACAAATGGTATAAGTGTTCATAAAACATTAGGGGAAAAGTTGCTATATCTTTCTGTACCAAGAGATGGCTAAACTATCTGAAATATAAAATATTCAATGATCTTTTCACAATTGCTACTGTATATAACAATCAGTTTATATCTTAATACAAAAAAAAAAAAATTTGTTCTGATAGCGCGTTTGTTTTTTTTAAATTAAAACTTTTTTTAAACATGAAAAGAAACTTACAAAAATGTGCAGTAAGTACTGATTATATTAAACATACAACATAAAAATAAAATTTGATTACTTCAGCAAGTAACAGATAACATTTAAAAATTAAATTTTATAAAGCCATAAGATTAAAAAATTCAACTAAGTTAAGCTGCTTAACTGTAAAAAATATATATAACATATCAGGTCTGATTTCAAATATTTTGAAGTCTGTTCCAAAAGAAGTTTAAAATGGTGAGCAAGCCAAATTTTAAAAAAATTTTAAGGAGAGATTTCAACAAGAAAAGTTAATATTTGTACAAGAGTATAAATATGTGTGTATAGTTGAGATTAGTAGTAATATTTACAATGTTAACTACCATGCATTAGCATAGGTAGCAAACTGTTTCTAATAAGCTACATCAAAAGTTACAAATGGATTTTTAAAAACTAAGACTTAAATCATCTCTTGTTGTGCCAATGAAGCAATCAATAATCTCAAATTTTTATCACAGAGATGGATTTTTATTTTCCTATGTTCTGAGTTCAATAGCCAAACATAAAACATTTTAAAAATAAGTTTAAAAAGGCCTGCGTTGCCTTAATTTAAAAAATGCATAATAAGTATGAGCTATTTAAATTTTGTACTTTTCTATTTTCACATTAATTTATATTTTAATTTTTAGTGTCAACCTCATTTTAAATACAGAAACTTTAAAAAATAAAAATGGAAAAGAATAAAAGCCGCAACATCCTCTCATATCTGCAGCAAGCTGTCATTGGGGATGAAAGACATTACACTACACAACATGGACTTCATCTTCAGAAGATTACTCATGTCTTTAGACAAGGATCACCTTCATCTCCTTGGTGACTTCTGTTGGAAAACAAAGTGGAATATATAAAGTTTCAAGCTTGACCATCTATTTATGGTACATTGTATTCAGTATGTTTTCAAAGAGTAATTGTCTTATCTTATTCAGAAAGAAACGTATTTTATATTTATATAGAATACAGATCTTTTATTTTACTTAACTTAAATTTATTTTCATATGGAATTCATAAATTATGACAAGAAAGAACCAGAAAAACTAGAAATGGTTTTAAGTATAACAATACAAATTGATTTTTTAAATCTCTCTTTCCTCTACCACCACAACCCATGTCAAAAATTTTTAACACAAATTAGACACTTGTAATACAGTGGTGCCCCCCCCCCCACCCTTGCACGCATTACGAAATTTATGGGTGTCCCCTAAATAAATATTGCTATAGTTAGAAGCATATATCATGTCGCAAGTTAAAGTTAGAAATGGATTTTGGCCAGCATTCCCATTTAGTCTTGTGAAAACAGGTTTAGCTAATCAATTAACCCAAGGTGCTGACAACACAATAAAATATGCATTAATAAGATCATAATGTTTGACAATCAATTATGTATGTGTATGTATATACAGTATACATAATGATGAACTGGAGCCAACCTTTGATATCTATCTCCATTGCCCAGACAGACATGGCATTTTCACAGTGAGAGTAGATGTGAATGTCACAAACGCGCTGCATCACCTCGAGCTCAATTTTTCCACTAATCACTTTCAGAGCTCTAGTTTCATTGTGTTCGCTTGCCTAAAATATAAATTTTTCATGGAAGTACACACAAAAAAGGGTGGCAGAAATAATTTAAAAAAAAAAAAAAAAAGCTTATAATATATGTCTGTTTTTCAACAATACTACATTATATATTGTAAAAAGATTTCAAGAAATATTTTTTCACACTTTTCTTTTTAAATTTTTCGCTTGCCTAAAATATAAATTTTTCATGGAAGTACACACAAAAAAGGGTGGCAGAAAAAATTTAAAAAAAAAAAAAAAAGCTTATAATATATGTCTGTTTTTCAACAATACTACATTATATATTGTAAAAAGATTTCAAGAAATATTTTTTCACACTTTTCTTTTTAAATTATACACGAGTTGAATTAATTTATAGATTTGTATTATTTACCTCATATGACTCCCAACGTTGATATCCCTCCTCAAATGTTTCATCAAGGCGATCAATGTAGCACATGTTGTTGTCGTTATCTCTGAAGGCAATCAGACCCTAGACAACAAAACAAAGAATATATATCATTCTTTTTTTTTAAATGTTGAATATAAAGTGTGGCTTAAGGACAAAAATGATAATCATATACAGTAAAACCTCTGTTTTGAGACCCTCTCTTAAACAACTTTCTCCAACATAAGACCGGAAAAATATTCACCAATGCTTTTTAATATATAAGTGATCTCTCTTAAACGACCTCCTCTAAAACGCGAACTTCAAATAATTCAATTTTACGACCTAGCACCTGAAAAAGTCAGATTCTAAAGCAATGCTATATTTGTGCGCTTGAAGAAAACAGTTGCTTTACTACATTTAACAGCAGACGATGCACTAAAGCAGCTAGGAAGTAGTGAAATAGCTTTCTTTCAAAAATAAAAAACTATTCAATGATTGAATAAAAATAATTACAACAATATTAATTCGCTTATCTTATACATAAATAGTTATAACTCTACGCATGCACTCGACACTTACACACGCTTTTAAACAATTACCATACCAGCATTGATTTTTTATTTAGAAATTAATGAGGAACAGGAAGATAGTGACTGTATTGGTTGTGAGACAGAGTTATCTATATTTCTGAAAGAAAGATGGAAGATATTGCCCGTACTTAATGGTATGTGTACTTTTTAAAATTTATTTTACTTAAACTTCTAAATGTCGTTTTTCTAAAATGTCCTACCTGATTTTTAAGACCCCTCCAATTTAAGACCTCGTTTTCATGGCAATTTAAAGGTAGTATATATTCCTTTTGAGTTAATATCTTAAGTACAAATTATAATGAATAAATACCAAAAAAAAAAACATTTTCTAAAATACTACATAAGGTCATCCAAAGCTCTTTTTGTTTATTTTTCTCCAAAATAGTAATTGTTCATTTCCTAAGCCTTTTCCAGTAAATGTTTAAAAAATGTTTCCTAGAGTTTCTCTATATTATTCAAAACAAATAATGAACATAGCAATTACTCAGTACTGTAATTAACAACTTGCTAATGACTGCTACTTACCAACACCTAATTTATCAATGCAGCAAATTAAATAATCTTTAGTGAAATTTTTTAAATATTTGAGCAGATAATTATAATTCCCTTTATAATCATTATAAGGCATTAAAATTAACAGCTCAAATTTTAAAAAATAAAATATGCTATTAAGTTAAAGAAACAAATAATAGAGCAAAACAATTGACTTACTCTGTCATATTCATGAAGAACATCTAAAGCTCGTGTGTTAGAATCTTTGTCGTGATCATGTTTAGCATAAATGAGTTGATTCTCATGATCCACCTGTACAGTTTCAGGAACACCACGTCTGCGACATTCCCAGCTCTTTAAAATAAAAAAATAGTATGAGACATTCCCAGCTCTTTAAAATAAAAAATTAAATTATATCTAATTAGAGGGGTGTACTTGTTAGATTTCTTGAGTGAAAAAACAATGAGCTCCCCCATTTTATTTCCCAAGAGAAATACAGTAACTCTAAATTCTTACTTTGCGATGGTTATGACGGAAGTGAAGTACAAGCAACATTGTAGCAAGGGCAGCTACAGCCACAATGATAACAAGTGCAGCACCACATACAATCCTTCGGCATCTACGTTGTTTTCGTTGCTGGCGAAGAGTGATGACACGACGGTCAGTCTCAATATTGATCACAGAGGGAAACTCAAGTCCATCACCCTTTTCTGGCAGAACCTAAACAAATTTCATTCACAAGTTTTTTATATCAAATGAACAATATAGTTTTTAATCAAAAGAACACTATAAAAAATTACAAAAATTAACTGCTATTTCAAGATATACATATATATAGAAAAAACTTTATCATTTCAAGTCAAGTGTGACTTAAATATGAGATATTGCAAGGTAAGTGTAAATAAATATAATATGAACAAATGTCTAAGATTAACACGGTCACAGTGTACTTAGAAACATATGGAATGTCCAACTCACTATGCTGTCTTTTTAGAAAATGGTTTTAGAAGATTTTAGGACTGAAATTTTATAGTGTCCAATTGCCATAAAAGATACACCATAATTTTAATACTTACTGCACTGTTTTGCACACAATTTTTAAAGATAATGGTATCAAATTTTCATGAGACATTTACACTTCAGTTAAAAACATAATGCACAATAAAAGTTTCACATATGATTAAGAATAATCATTTTGCATGACTTAAAATGTGGGTAGATTGATTTAGAAGCTTGCTCAAAGTTAGAAAGAACTAGAATGAAAAGATTTTGACTGCTTTATGATATGGTAATGAAATAAAACTTACTTTAATTGCATTCATTGATTATTTGATACCTTTGTATTATTGTTACACATATGGGACCCTGACACTGAATGCTATGAATGTAATATTTTCTTTCACTTGCTCTTTTTTCACCCCTTTCCTCTATATTAAATACCCTTCCCTGGGTTACCTACCATACCAGAGTTCACTATCATCATATAGTTTTACATTTCTCTGGGAAAACAACCTAAGACTATTTTTATATTTTTTCTTATCATTAATAAATTTAATAGTACCCAGTACTAGTCACACAAGTATTCAGCTGGTAACATCACAAAAAAACTAACATCCTTCACTTGAACAACTATTTCAAGAAAAATATAGTAAAAAGTGAAACATTTTGGATAAATAGATCCCACCCTCCTCATCACAAATACCTAAGATCAACTCAATAAGGGTGAATTCTTCCCCTTAAAGTCAGGACTGAAAATTCTTTTGTTCTCATGTCTGTCAGAATTTACCAGCGTGTTCGCCCCCAGTGGTTACCAAATCAAAACGATAACCAATTAAGTCATTATTGTTCTAAGGGAGTTAAGTCTTATGGTTTACAATGGCTGATTTTTACACTAGAGAAATACTTTAGATGTCTTATGTTTAAATAGTTCTAATTCTAAGATGTTGTCTTCATTAAAATGTGTATTTATTTATGTTGAATAAGAATAATGTAATAAAAAAAACATTTCCATTTATTTGTATCAATAAAAGAATCTTATTTTAAAAGTTACTTTAACTTAGTAAATAGCCAAGATCATATATCAAATGACAAATTAAAGCAGATCTATGGTACCGGTAATACATGTCAACCTGTACAGTGTACAGTTTACCCATACTGTGTACAGTTTTTATATGTTTGCCAAGTTGTACAGCCGTACAAGCTTTTGTATAGCTCCTCAACGGATTTAGAAAATAAATGCTTTCAAAACTTGTGTAATGAAAATAATCTTCTTTAACCCTGTAGGGATGGCAGAGCCAATATCGGCCCAGGGTTGAATGGCGAAAAAGACAAAAGACCAAACTACAGGCCCGATAATTCAAGCCATTGAGATTGGCTGGCTGGTCTTTATACCAGCTAAACAAATAGCTTCTTGCAATTCATGCACATCCTGGTATTTTAATGGCAGCCTTCATTGATTGTTAATTATCTTTGTTGTATTCAGAAATTTCTTTTTGTGTTGAGAGTAACATGGTGAAATTCCAAAATGTCTACAGTGATACTGACTGTAGTGAATCTGATATTTCTAGCAGTGAATCTGACACTGATGAAAACAACCAGGAAAGTAATGAAGACAATCAAAACCATGATAATGATAATGTTGTGAACTCTAGGTTTAGGATTAGGGGTCCTGAACTAGATAGAGATGACCCCAATGAACTTTTAGAAAATGTAGAGCCTACAAATATGCCTCATGGCCTAAGCACCTTGGTTGAGTACTTTATGCTATTTTTTTACACTAAATATAATTCAATTGTTTCTGCTCCAAGGTGTCTGAAGGGCCTCCATGGGTCTTGTTTCCCAAAACACAAGTATTAGGACTTATTCAGGCTTCATTCATCAAAAAATTCACCCAAATTATAAAAGTAATTCATGTTTATTCTATGTTTAAGAAAAAATTACACAAATAAATTATGCAAATCAGTATAAATCATTTGAATAAATTTTGAGATTGCAGTTTGATTCATAAAGATTGTATTGGGTCAATTTCCTACAAGAATGTTGATAGTTTTATACATCGTCCGTTTAGAGCAAGAATGCACTAAGTAGGGCCATAATTACCAGCACCAAGTTTTATCATTTTCTAACTTCCCATTATAATTAAATAATACATTCAATGAACGATACTTAATGTGGTAGCATTGCAAACTCAAAAAGAGTGTTTTGAGAGAAACAAAATTTACCACCCTCTAGATAAATCTACATGTATGACAGCTTTGGGTTTGGCAACTTAGAACAATCTTTCTCTCCATAGATGACACGTAAAGAAATAAGTCTATTTTTAATAATGTTTTTGCAATAGTCAATAGAGTGCAGAGCTTGTAAAAAGTGCTCCATCTTCTTGGCACCGACACTCTAAAAAGGCTCTATCCCAAAAGTGTTAAGGTCCATTTCAATACCATGGTCATTTCTTTACTATTTCTCAGATAAACTTTTTAAGGGCTATTTTTTAATTAGACTTTTACATAGAGGAGTGGGACATCATTGCTTATGAGAGAAAGAAAGGATTATTTGTTCTTTGAAATAAGATTTTATTTTTATATTCTTCACTGTTTTTTTGTTGTTGATCAATAATGTTGCTATGGCTAACCCAGGCCCCTGTGGGGTGAGTAATTTTCCTATACGATTAACAGTACAGCTCAACAAGCTTTGGAAATGTGTCATAGTCAATAAGTCATACTCATGACATAGTCATATTCATACTATTCCTATTGATAGTGAAGATGATTTAGATTCAGATCCAACACATGATGATGCGTCCGAAGTAGCAGTTTCAGATAATTTGAAATAATATAGGCCTACTAGTATGAGTATAATTATAATCCAAAAAAAAAAAATAGTGTTAAATTTTTTTTTAACCCAACCACTCACTCTCTTTTGCTCTTGGAATAAATGTACATTTTTTTCATTAAAAAAATTCTGCATTGAAAGAGTTAAAATTAAAAGTGTAAAATATTACAGTACAATTTAATTTGTTGCATTTTGTTTAACTTTAAATCTTTAATTGTTAAAAAAATATATATGAATATGTTAACATTGAATTATTTCGTAATCTACCATAGAAGGTCTTGCAAAATTTTATTTTAATTACGCTTGTTGGGGTAAGACGGGGGTGCGCTCGTTGCTAGATAATGGTCACAAGGTGGCGGTGGCCAAAAAAGTTAGAGAACCACTGTAGAGACTGTAGTCTGTAGTCGATAGAGTAAGAGTACCTGAAATTGAAGGTGACGGACAATTACTGAATTCTGCCATGACACTTAAAACATTATACAAAAAGCTTACTTCATCGTTCACGGCCTTGAGGGGCTCTTTTCCAGATAATGAAACCTTTGGAGGAGACATTATTTCGATTTCAGTGGTAAATTTGTCTTTTGTTTTAGTACCAAGTACAAGGAACTAACAAACAGGATTACGGATATGACGGCAATATTCACTAATAGCTGTGTCGGGTCCACCCCTACCTGGGCAGTTAAAAGGTAACAATGTACATTTTTTTTAATTGGCTAAACTATTTTTAAATTTTAACATACTTTTACATTTAAAATCATGATGATCCTAATTCAATTATTACTGTAAAAAATAATATTTAATAATTTCATGTTTAAACATCAAATGTAAAATAATGTTCATTTTTTAAGCACGCCAAAAGTCTAAATTGGTCAAACCAATTTGGCAACATTCTCTCACTTCACTGCACTGCTTGTTGGTAAACAATTGGTCACCATAATCATGCGCCATCTGTCCACAATTCCCGCTAGCCCTCCACTCCCCCCCCCCCCCNGTTTTATTAATATTAAATTGTTTTGTTATCAAAAGATCCGAAAAGGGGAGAAAGGGTGGGGGGAGCGAGATTTTGACTAGTGGCCGTCCATAAAGTACGTCACGCTCCAGGGGGGGGGGCAGGGGGGATAAGAAAGTGTGACAGTTTGTGATAGGGGGAGGGGGGGTCAGGCCATGTGGGACGTCACACATTTATTTTTTTATTAAATTTTATTTCTATTTTATTTTTTATTATTTTAGTGGAATTTAATAGCTTTAAAAATAATTTTTAAACATTTTGTGTATCATTTTAATTAGTTTGATATCAAAATAGCATGAAATGCGTATCTCCTGAGTGTGTTGTTCACGATTCCTCTCGCTAGGAGCGCTAGTATGCTGTTGCGAAGCCTTGTTATATTCATAGCCTTGCTTTCGTCTTTCCTGAAGTATTATTATTTCTATGTTGTCTGCTGCATAATTATGTCACTGTCCTTTTTATTATTTAATCATTTGGTGAGGTCAAGTTTCTCTAATATACTTCTTAACCTGTGTAAAAAGATTGCATAATCGGGAGATTATCTAAAACTTGACCTCACCTTTTGTAAATGAAAAAGGAGCTGATAAATGATGCGTATTACATAATTGTCTAGTCTAATTTTTGCAATTTTTGTTTTCAAATTCAATATAGATTGAGATATTGCTTCAATAAATAACTGTGACAACTGTGGCCAATTAACTATTCAACTATTAAAGTCATGTTAATAATGTGATAGTGGAAATTAAGTGGACATTTTATATTTTAATACAGTTTAATAGTGAAGTGTGTTTTAGATTAAATTTTAATTAGGTGTTCATTTTTTTTTTAAAATTCGAAAGTGGGACGTACTTTAGGGGGTTGGTGGGGGGGGGGAGGGTTCTGAGATTTGTGACAGTTTGTGACAGGGGGAGGGGGGTTAAAGATGGTCAAAAATAGCGTGACGTACTTTTTGGACGGCCCCCTATCTAAGACATATCTCATTTGTAATGAATTAGTTTAAGAAATAACTTTATAAACAAATTAAATACCGGTATTTAATATGAAGAAAAAATATAACCAGCATAAACTTAATAGCATTTCAAAGGGGAGTGTGTCGAATGAGATGATCAATGTCCAGTTCCATATTTGTCGCTGCCACGTACCTTTACGGTGGCCAGGCGAACCGGACTAAGGAATTAAGGACCCCTTGGGGCCATATCTGGCACACGTGCCGTAGTTTGAAGACCCCTGGCCTAAGGGATTCATTTTCACGTCGTTAACTATTTGCTATTTAATTTGTTAATCTCCCATATATTTATTGGTTTTAATTCACATGCAACTTTCGGCAGATATGGTGCAATCATTGCAGCCGACAAATAAAACTGAAGTGACCAGGTCTCTAAAGCGGCACTGGCACTCCAAGACGAAATTAACAACCAAATTGACCTCATGCATGAGACAAATAACTGAATAAAAGTTAAATTAAGATGATAGCCATAATATTTTTTTTTTAAACTTATAATACTTAATACGTTCATCTGGCAATGGCTGATCGCGGATTAAAAAGATATGATAGATAAGATAATATGTTTTAAATATTTTTAATTAATACAAATGAATGTAAATTTGTTTTGATTAATTTTGCACGTAGTTTTTACAGTCTTGAAAGTGTTTGTCCGGGTTTGTGTTGTTGCTTTAAAAATGTATAATAACATATTTAAAGTCAAATAAAATTATAAAAAAAATAATTAATAAATCTGACACCGGTCCCTGGTGCAATGGGAAAACTGACCCACCTGTCCGCCAAACTAAAAAATCTGGGAAACATTGTATGACTGCAGGTTATCAATTATTATTATTGTACGTATTCACACGCACAATGAAACAAAAAAATTATATCTTATAATTGATATTTTAATTGATATATTTCTTTTATAATATTAGAAAAGCATTATGCTCAAAATACAGTTTAAATATGTATATTTTTATGCAAAGATAAATAAAACCTGGATGCATTACGCACGTTTTTTAGGCAGTCGACGGACTACGTCACTAAGGTGTATATAATTTATAATGAATTGCAAGCGAATTGCAAGTTTGACCACAATAGGCCCACATACTAAGGTTCTAATAATAGTATGTAGGTCAACTGTATCTCATATAAATATATCTATAAACTGAATTCAGTAATAATTGTATGTCTTACACACATCTCATCACAACGCTTGTCAAAAAAGAACTTGATTCTTTAACATTGTGCAAATATTTTATTAATACTGGATAATGTCAGGATGGGTCCGTGTTCATGGACGTCGAAGTCGAAGTTTCAAATCAAAGGTGTCTAGCAGATGCCGGGGTAGAGGGGGGCGTGGACGAAGAAGGGGAAACCTTACTTTTAGTGGTCGAAATCGTTCAGTTGCAAATGAAAGTTCACAAAATCATGAATCATTTGGTAATGAAAGAATAGAATACAATTTTAATACGGATCCGAAAGTATTTTTCACTGGCGCTGCTTCAACGGAACAGCATTTAGCAGCTCAAAATGAAAATCGTCTACGCTATGCAGCAACTCTTGCTGTGTTAATTACAAATAAAATACAAGTTAAACAGAGTAAGTATATTTAACATTTACATTCTTACTAATAGGTTTTTGTTCATGCCAGTATACTTTTAGGATTATTTATTTTAAGGAATATTATTATTGTTTCTCTCCCCCCCCCTTTCCAAAAAAAAACTATTTTCAATTTTATCCAGCAATCATGAAGAGGTTTAACCAATGGCAATCATGCAATGTAAAGGAAGAGACACCGCAATTCTAACGACGGAACACAAAATATTGAGCGCATCACACACAACGTATTTGAATTTGAATAATGGTTATGTAAGAATCTTGTTTAGAAACAATAAAAGAAGAAGAAAAAAAAGTTTAATATAAAAAAAAAAAATTGTTTCTGCTTCTTACACCCCTGACCACCGATTATAAATAATAATATCTTAAGAAAATTAAGGATTATGGAAATTCTATAATTATGATGACATTTTATTCATTTTATTTTATTTTAAAATAAATTTATAGACTTTAGTTTTAGTATAACTTGGCTTTCTTGGAATTCTCTCAATATTTGTTGTGAATTTATAAAAGTTTTTACCAAAGTTTTTTTACAGGATCCACAATTTCAATATTAACTGAAATTGAATTTCCCTGGCAGGGGTCCAAATCTTTAATGTAACAAAATTTAGGACATCAATGTAGGCAATGGGGGAAAAGCATATAATTACTACCTAAATTAATATTGTTTACACTCCTTTTAAGGGTTAAAGTGGTTCTTTTTATAAATCCCTTTGACAGGTATAATAATAAATTATGTTTTTCATACCAATTAAGAGATGAAGCCTCTTTTCCACTAATTTTGACTTTTTAGTAACAAAACAATTAACTTAACTGAGTCAATCATCTGCTGAAGTAAAATTTATAGTCTACTAAATTTTAAAAAGGGCTCTTTTAATAATTTTATTCCAGTTTGAAGTCAAAGAAATGTTTTCAACTCTTGATTATAATTATAATTATTAATGAACACATTAAAGATTGAACTCCAACATCTGATTATGATGCATCAATTATGCATCATTTTATTTTTCCCATATAGCATATATAAGTTTGAATGTTTCATTCCAGATGCATGCATTAAAGCTTTAGCCATGGCATGGGCAAGAGGAGATGATGAACTTGCTACAGCATTTCTCAAGTTAAAATCTAACTTTGGTTTAGTGGAAGTTCTTAAGGCACTGAACATGCTTGATGCAGGTCGTCAAGTTCGAACACTTGAGAAACGACTGAAATGTCTTGAGTTATCAACAACAAAAGTCAAGCCTCAAAAAATTTCAAAGCTCAAAATGGACATTAACAATCTTAATAAAGTCAAACCTCCAGTAAGCTTTTCTCTATTAAATTTATTATGCCATCACGCATAGTTAATTTTGTTTAGCAATTTTTTATTTAAATGGAACTCAACATTCTGGATTTTTAATATGACAGTTTTTTTGTTTGTTTTTTTTGTTTTTTTATATTAATGAATGCTGTGGACTCAATTTGTTCACCAAACGTAAATACTATACGTTTATTCAAAAATATCAAATCTGTGGATTAGCTACAATTATTTGAAAAATTATCCGCTTAAATAGCACTACTGAATCTAATCTTGATATGTGCCCTGCAGAGCCCAAAATTGTAAACAAATAAAGCTGTCTGAGATACCATTTTTATACTATAAGGTATAAAGAATTTTAATTTAAAAGATACATCCTAGGTTTAATAATAAAAATTGTTTGCATAGCACTATTAATCCTTAACATGATAGAAGTTACAGACCAGCATCAATAAAATATCGTATCTTATTAGGAGCAAAAGTGTCCTATATAAATATTATATTTTTGTTTGCTAAAAACAACATTATTTAAAAAAAGATTTGAACAACAATTATATATATCTCCCGAGTGGATGGGACACATTAACCTAGGATGGCAACTCATCTGAGAGAAGGAAACTCTGAATTCAAACCAGGAGATGGAGCCCCATAACTGGATAACACATTGACAATGATACATTCTGACAACTCATGCGACACCACTGGTGCCAAGCAGTATCATCCACATGATGTTTCCTTGGGTTATCCAGTGGCGTGGAGAGAGGTGATTCATTGTAGGGAACCAGCTTATAATCATAGAAGAAGAATGCCAGGCCTTGTGGATTTTGTCCTGTGAAGTCTACACATCCTCACATTGTGACAGATGGATGCCAGCAAAAAAAAAAAAAAAAAAAATTATATAAAAAATTGTTTAAAATATATACACAAGAGTTTTTAAATGAAAAAAAAGTTAGAAATGTTATTTTCTACACAAGTGAATTTACACATGTGCAGCAAGATTTATAGATATGTTAATGGTCTGCATGCCCAAATAATTTCAGAAAAATGGTTATAGTGAGTAGTTCCCTATTAAATTACATTATATGAATGTTTGTAAATTATCAATTTTAAAAAAAAATTTGGCTGGCAGGTCTACCAGCACCACACCCATGATCACTTTATATAAGAATGTCAGGCGGAGTCCCTCTCGTCTGTCTTTAAGGGGAGGCATGTCAAATCTTTTTAAGAGGCCAGTGACGAAGCCAGGAGTGGTGGATTTGTAGTTGCGAACGATAAAATGCACCGCGTTACGTTGAACTCCATCGTGTCCACGTCTTGCTTAAGGTGTGGGTCCCAGATGATCGCACCATATTCCAGTAGTGGACGGACGAGTGCGAGATAGGCATTCCGTTTGCAGGAAGTTGGGCAGTGGCGCAGATTTCTTCGGATGAAACCTAGGGTGGAGTTGGCTTTTTTTTAAATTTTGTTTATATGGGCTGACCATTTCAGGTTATTTGAGAAGAGAATTCCAAGGTATGGACTATTGGATACTTGTTGGAGAATTGTCTCGTTTAGTGAGTAAATATGAGTTGATGGTTTTTTTCTTGAGATTGTCATAGTGTAGCATTTGGTTTCATTAAATTTCATGCCCCATTTGTCCGCCCAATTCAAAAGGCACTTCAAATCTGTTTGGAGGTGGATGTGGTCATCGTTGCTGTTTATCTCTCTGTAGATAAGACAGTCGTCAGCGAATAGCCGCACTTGAGAATTTACATTGATTGAATGTTGCTGTTTTTTTTTAGCTAATCATATTTTTTTTTATGTTGTTTTTATTCTGTTACTTTGTAGACATTTTGAAAATTTATCATAATTTTGATTTCTTTTTTACCTCAGTTGGGATCAGCAAGTGGTGCAGTTTGCAAGCATGTTGCAAAGTGGGTTAGAGAATTCACAGCAGCTGATTTAGAATTCTTTGCCATCAACTTTCCAAAAGATCCATGGAAGAAGCTAGCAGATATTTGTCATTTGAAACCTGAAAAAGTATGTTAATTTGTTTAATTTTAACACAGAGTTCATTTGTTACAAGTTCCAGCCTCTCAATGAAAAAAGTCAAACACTATTACCTTAAAACTATATCCAATTTTGCTTCATATTCTGGATAAAGCAATTTAGTCCATTTAAAAGTAATGCATTGCCCACACATTTGTTAAAAAATCTTAAGCAAGTTTGCAGATTTTTTTTTTTCTCTGCACACAAAATCTGAAAAATTCATACACACATAGAATTATCATGCCCACAAACTTAAGAAACTTATTTTCTGATATTTTTCATAGGACTTCCCAGCAGCTCCTTGGTTCCTGGCTTTCTGCTTTGGGACAGGATCCCCACCAATTGGTTCAAATGTAGAGTATTGTCAGCAACTTACAATGGAAAATGTGAATGATTTAATCAAGGAGCATGACATCCCATTTAGTGTGGTTAAACCTTTCAAAGAAAAACTTAGTCCTGAATCAAAGCAAAGAATTTCAGAATGTGAAGCAAAATTGGATATAGTTTTATGGTAATAGTTTTTTTTACTTTATCCTTAATTTGTTTTTTTGTTCAGTTGTTAATTATTTGTTTTGTTGATGATCAAGCTTTGTTATAAAAATTATTTAAAAATGCATTATGGATGCAACTGTAGACCTTAAGAAAATAGAATGGCTGTTGCTTCTAAAGGGGTATTTACAAAGAAAAGTCAGTCTTTGAAATGCTCTAAGTTTTAATCCACATTAATAAATACTATCAAGAAGGCAAAAAAAATAAAAAAATGTTATGAAATATTGGTGTTTTTTGGTTATGCTTTTATTATCCTCTGCATATACATACAACAATAGCAAGCATGAATACGAGTGTTAATGTGAGAATCTATTTCTCTCACAGGTGGTATGAAGATTTGTCATGCCCGGGCACCGATGAGGTGATCTCAAAAAGGCTGGCTGCAGGTGAAACAATTTCCTTACCTAATGGTAAATTACTGGAAAGGTTACTTACCATCTTGCTTCTTCGCAACCCCCAGCTAGCTAGGAGGGGTTATGATGACATGAATTATGAAGGTGAACCAGAAGGGGAGACAAATTTTTTCACTCAACTCATGGATCTAGCAGAACCAAAACTTACATCCATCAGGTAATTTTGCACCCAAACACTTCTGTTTTTTTTTTTAAGGCTTTATTTAATCACCACAATGAGTCACAGCTGAGTGTTGTACATATAATTAAATTTTTTGCATATTCATGTTTGCTGTGAAGATCATTTAGATATATAAAACATGGAAAATCACTTTAGAAATGTGACGTAAAAAAAAATTACATGCAATTTTTAAATCCTTTATATTAACTTTGCTTTTGTTCATGGCTGGCTGGCGAAAGTTTTAAAGGCTAAATTACCCATATCCCATCAACCGGTTGAGCTAAAACTTGGCACATAAACTTGTTGCTGATGACAAGACATTCTTTCAAATTTTCAGCCTCACCCACCAACCCCCAAAATTGGTTTTGCATTTTTTTTTAAAGCTGAAGATGAAGGAAATATGACACTGATTTCACAAAATAAAATTCCTGATAAATGCGCTAAATGAGATTTTTTTTTAAAAATATAACAAGTGTGCTTGGTGTGTAAGATTTTTTTTTTTTCTCAAATCGTTGTTGAAATAAATCTGCGCTGTAAAAAGCAGGTGGGTCATTAAAATCCTAATATAGTTTAGGGGCATGAAAAAAATGTGGTTGCGATCCCTTTGGGGGGACACGACTAATTGGGATTCTTATTATAAAGTGCGTTACGTGTATGCAAGATTTGTCAAAATTAAATTTCAGCCCCCTCGCTATTAAATTTTATAAAGGATTATATGAAAAGCTTTGTTTTTTAGGGGTTTTTAATTAGACTGCTAAAGAAAGCATTAATATTTTGTGTACAATGTATCTTTGATTTTTTTATAAGGCCATAATGAAGAAGAAAATAAATTCCTCCATTTATACTCATTTATTTTTAGTTGCATTTACTGAAAAATTGCCTAGACTTTAAATGTGGTTTAGAAATCTTAAAATTTAAAGAGAAAAAAATAATTCATAAAATAATGCATGCTTTAAACATTAACTATCATCTTGTTGTGATGTAGATATGAGCTATCATCTTGTTGAGATATAGACATGAACTATCATCTTGTCGTGACATAGATATGAACTATCATCTTGTTGTGATAGAGACATGAACTATCATCTTGCTGTGATATTTATTCCCGTAACATTTTGTGTTATAATTTTCTATGTACATAATTGCAGGCCGAGCCTCAAGTCCCCCATTCGTGTTAAAATTTTCTCTGTACATAATTTCAGGCCGAGCCTCGAGTCCCCCATTCGTGTTAAAATTTTCTATGTACATAATTTCAGGCTGAGCCTTGAGTCCCCCATTTTTGTTAAAATTTTATATGTACATGATTTCAGGCTGAACCTTGAGTCTCCCATTGTCATAATGGGAGATGCCTCTGGCTCTATGGAAGTTGCCATTCGTACAAGCACCATCATTGCCAGTCTCCTCACTGCCATCTGCAGTGCTAAATTAGTTTTCTTTAATACTGAAACACGTGACGCCCCCTTCTTACCCAAGACTGTAAAAGAGGTTTGTTTGTCTCAATTTATTGTTTTAACCATTTTAGTCACTTACATTCATAGATTATTACTCAAGTATAGATGGTTTTTAAAGAACATAAACTCTTGGCAGCAAATTATTTTTTCTGCTTTTTTTTTTCTTTTGAAAATCAGATGCTGAAGTTGGCTGCAAACACAAAAGCAGTTGGGGGAACAACTCCTGCTGCATCACTATTACCATTTTACAGGAACAAAGAAGTGGTGAAGACATTTATAATGGTAACAGATGAAGAAGAAAATGGACAGGCAGATGGACATAGGTTGGTCATCTACAATCTTGTCAAAGATGTTCTATTTTATAGCATATTTACAGAATTATTGTGTGAATCTGAACAATGATTTTAAATGGAATAGTTAAATTTTTTTTTTAATTGTTTGGTAACCATTAACTTAAGTTTTCTGTGAAATATTTTAAAAGTATTTTATTACCATGCCTTAAAAACAAATAGCAGTAATGAGAATCTCACCATTTTGTTATCCTCAGCTTTGCTCCCCTGTACCAGAAATATTACAAGGAAGTCTACCCCGCACATTTGATATTTGTATCCTTTCTTCGAGGTCAACATGCCCAAGGTCAAATGGTTAAGGACCTGAATAATCTGGGTTACCATCCAAAGCAGCTGCGATTGGAAGGGTCAAGGCCAGATTTAACAAAGTTGGATGATCTGTTTGCCCAGCTGTCGGCAGTGACCACATCATCTTTTACAAGCCAACTGGAGGAGATGGAGTCTCATTTGCACACCAAAAGTGTGGCTCAACTCTTTGAGGAGATCATTGAGTCTGGAGAATATAGTGCGGCTTCTGATCAGGGAAATTGAAAGGTGACACCATTGTAAGGAATGCATTAATTCAAATATTTCAGGTTGTATTTTTTATTTGTACAAATTCATTAATGTCAATATTTTAAAATATTTCCAAAAGTTTGTACTAGTCTACAGAAAGTTGAATTTTAATTTTAATATAGTCCTCGAGAGAAATTCTGTAAATCTCCACCATGTAAATAAAAAGGAATAAAGTCAGAAAACATTATCATATGGGGTCACTTGTTCGTATGATGCCTACAGGGCTCTAAGCCTCTCAAGTGCGTGTATGTGTAGTTCTAAAATGGCCAGGCATGTACACCTTTACATTTATTAATGAACATAGAAGCTTTTGGCTTAGAAATGAAAATATAAAATTCTAAATTTAATGGCAATTGTAAATTGCACCTTTTTAATTTAGATGGGTTTTGTTTTAATGGTATTTTTTAATAAGGTAAAGCTCACCTCATGTGGAGTTGTATAAGCATTAAGTACTAGAATCAAATATTTATTTTTGATAGAATTTTTTCTTCTTCATTTTTTTATTCAAATATAAATCCTTGATTTGTATAACATGTAATTTATGTTAAAAATTTTTATAAGAAACTTAATTTGTGAAGAATTTTGAAGAATTTTGCAGCCATATGATGTTGTCTATTTTTGATCGCATTGATGTAAATGTTGAGCTGTGAAATTTTTTTATTTGCATTATAAATACTGACAATTGTCAATTGAATTGTACAGGTAATTATTTTTTTCAAAAATATGTATAGAATCAACTTTTTAAACATTTTATTTGCAACTTTCCTACCGTTTGAAATAGGTATTGTTCAGGAATTCTTCCTACACCCCCTGTTAAGCTCAATAATGTCATGTGCTAGACAGTCTGGCCAGGTGTCTTAGCCTGACCACACAGGCATACACAGGTTCAAGTCGTTATTGACTTAGAGTTATTGACATGTTAATATAAACTCTGAATTGTGTGAGTGTAAAGAAATTTGAAAAGAATCACAAGATTGATTTTGTTATTTGTTTTTAAAATAAAAGTATACATTGTATTTGTTACAACATCTTACAACATGAGGAGTCTCATTGTGTGAGCCTGACTTTAAAATTGCATTTTCAGAATATATTTTATTTGTATCATCCCAAAATCAAAGGAGGAGCAAATGCATCAATCCCCCCCCCCCCCCCCCCCCCCCCACCCCCCCCCCCCCCCAACCGCACCCCCCAACCCCACTCCAGATGCCTATGGGTGAGACCTAGAGTTATGTTAGTAGAGTTAGTGAATGAAAAGTCAAATGACGCCTATGGGTGAGACCTAGAGTTGTGTTAAGTAGAGTTAGTGAATGAAAAGTCAAATGACACCTATGGGTGAGACCTAGAGTTGTGTTAAGTAGAGTTAGTGAATGAAAAGTCAAATGACGCCTATGGGTGAGACCTAGAGTTGTGTTAAGTAGAGTTAGTGAATGAAAAGTCAAATGACACCTATGTAAATCCCGCCGGACTGTCTGCAAGGGGAGGCTATTAGAGTTTTATTCTCACGTATTCAAAAGGTTTAGCCAAGCCTGGGCTATCTGCAGTGCAGAATATGCACTTTCCTTGGGAATCAGGATTTATTGCAAAAAATAATCAAGTAAAAAGTTTGATCTAATCCACGTTGTTTCAGGTGTTTGTCCCCTGGGGAGCTGAAGACACAAGGAATGGACCTACGCCCCAAGTCAGCAGTCCGGTCGGCTGGTTTAACCTAACTTGAGCATCCTGGCAGTGACCTCGTGGCTAGTAGTATATTATAGAAAGGGTGGTGTGTGTGGAATAGATGCATTCATTTTTTTTCATAAAAAGAAATTTTCATTAGTTGCATTGATTTGGGTAAAATTAAACATGTTTTTTTTTTTTTTTTAAATTTGTCAAGAGATCGCACCCACACTAATGATTAGATGACGAGGGGCCTCGAAGTTCTTAGCATGTCCAGTGGCCTCGAAGTTCTTAGCATGTCCAGTGGCATTAGTTAGGGTTAGTGCCGCCCCAAACAATAACTCTGCAGTTGACTGAAAATGGCGTCTCTCAATATAAAGAAAAAAACGTGTCGTCAGGGGCAGACCATCCCCCCCCTGCACCCCCCTTTCCTACGACAACGAGTCAAAGACTGGATGCGCTGGTTAACTAATAATTACAACAGATATAGATTTTATTTAAAAGTGAAAGGAGCCGATAAGGTTTACGAGTAGGTCACGTGGTCACGTTCACCCCTGTACACGGTGGTGAGGCCCATGCCATCGTCAATGTCACGTTTATTAGATTCAGGTAAGCATCCTAGTGTATAATTATGCCCCACTATGGGTTCGAAATGACCCATGATAATACAAACAGAATGACCCATGAAAAAACAAGCAGAATGACCCAAGATAAGACAAGTAGAATAACCCATGATAAGACAAGCAGAATGACCCATGATAAGACAAGCAGAATGACCCATGATAAGACAAGCAGAATGACCCATGATAAGACAAGCAGAATGACCCATGATAAGACAAGTAGAATGACCCATGATAAGACAAGCAGAATGACCCATGATAAGACAAGTAGAATGACCCATGATAAGACAAGTGGAATGACCCATGATAAGACAAGTAGAATGACCCATGATAAGGCAAGTAGAATGACCCATGATAAGTGGGTCCCATTGTAGTGCCTAAATGACCCAAAACAAGCAAAGTGGGTCCCATTGTAGTGCCTAGATGACACAAGACAAGCAAAGTGGGTCCCATTGTTGTGCCTAAATGACACAAAACAAGCAAAGTTGGTCCCTTTGTCGTGTCTAAATGACCCATGATAAGACAAGCAAAGTTGGTCCCATTGTAGTCCCTAAATGACCCATGATAAATCAAGTAAAGTGGGTCCCATTGTAGTGTCGAAATGACCCATGATAAGACAAGCAAAGTTGGTCCCATTGTAGTCCCTAAATGACCCATGATAAATCAAGCAAAGTGGGTCCCATTGTAGTGCCGAAATGACCCATGATAAATCAAGCAAAGTGGGTCCCATTGTAGTGTCGAAATGACCCATGATAAGACAAGCAAAGTTGGTCCCATTGTAGTCCCTAAATGACCCATGATAAATCAAGCAAAGTGGGTCCCATTGTAGTGTCGAAATGACCCATGATAAGACAAGCAAAGTTGGTCCCATTGTAGTCCCTAAATGACCCATGATAAATCAAGCAAAGTGGGTCCCATTGTAGTGTCGAAATGACACAAAACAAGCAAAGTGGGTTCCACTGTAGTGCCCATGACAACACAACTAATGTGGTCGGGAAATTGCCCGTCAATCGCAAATGAATTGAGGGTTAGAGCAAGTTCAGTGGTGGTAATAGGAGGATGTTATTGGGTGTAGAAGGATGAGGGTGTTATTGGGTGTAGAAGGATGAGGGTGTTATTGGGTATAGAAGGATGAGGATGTTATTGGGTATAGAAGGATGAGGGTGTTATTGGGTATAGAAGGATGAGGGTGTTATTGGGTATAAAATGATGAGGGTGTTTTTGGGTATAAAAGGATGAGGATGTTATTGGGTGTAGAATGATGAGGATGTTATTGGGTATAGAAAGATGAGGGTGTTATTGGGTATAGAAGGATGAGGGTGTTATTGGGTATAGAAGGATGAGGGTGTTATTGGGTGTAGAAGGATGAGGGTGTTATTGGGTATAGAAGGATTAGGATGTTATTGGGTATAGAAGGATGAGGATGTTATTGGGTATAAAAGGATGAGGATGTTATTGGGTATAGAAGGATGAGGGTGTTATTGGGTGTAGAAGGATGAGGATGTTATTGGGTATAGAAGGATGAGGGTGTTATTGGGTGTAGAAGGATGAGGGTGTTATTGGGTATAGAAGGATTAGGATGTTATTGGGTATAGAAGGATGAGGATGTTATTGGGTATAAAAGGATGAGGATGTTATTGGGTATAGAAGGATGAGGGTGTTATTGGGTGTAGAAGGATGAGGATGTTATTGGGTATAGAAGGATGAGGATGTTATTGGGTATAGAAGGATGAGGATGTTATTGGGTGTAGAAGGATGAGGGTGTTATTGGGTATAGAAGGATGAGGGTGTTATTGGGTGTAGAAGGATGAGGGTGTTATTTTGTATAGAAGGATGAGGATGTTATTGGGTATAAAAGGATGAGGATGTTATTGGGTGTAGAAGGATGAGGATGTTATTGGGTATAGAAGGATGAGTGTGTTATTGGGTATAGAAGGATGAGGATGTTATTGGGTATAGAAGGATGAGGGTGTTATTGCGTATAGAAGGATGAGGATGTTATTGGGTATAGAAGGATGAGGATATTATTGGGTATAGAAGGGTGAGGGTGTTATTGGGTATAAAAGGATGAGGGTTTTATTGGGTATAAAAGGATGAGGATGTTATTGGGTATAGAAGGATGAGGATGTTATTGGGTATAGAAGGATGAGGGTGTTATTGGGTATAGAAGGATGAGGATGTTATTGGGTATAGAAGGATGAGGGTGTTATTGGGTATAGAAGGATGAGGATGTTATTGGGTATAGAAGGATGAGGATGTTATTGGGTATAGAAGGATGAGGATGTTATTGGGTATAGAAGGATGAGGGTGTTATTGGGTATAGAAGGATGAGGATGTTATTGGGTATAGAAGGATGAGGGTGTTATTGGGTATAGAAGGATGAGGATGTTATTGGGTATAGAAGGATGAGGGTGTTATTGGGTATAGAAGGATGAGGGTGTTATTGGGTATAGAAGGATGAGGATGTTATTGGGTATAGAAGGATGAGGATGTTATTGGGTATAGAAGGATGAGGGTGTTATTGGGTATAGAAGGATGAGGGTGTTATTGGGTATAGAAGGATGAGGATGTTATTGGGTATAGAAGGATGAGGGTGTTATTGGGTATAAAATGATGAGGGTGTTTTTGGGTATAAAAGGATGAGGATGTTATTGGGTGTAGAATGATGAGGATGTTATTGGGTATAGAAAGATGAGGGTGTTATTGGGTATAGAAGGATGAGGGGGTTAGTGGGTATAGAAGGAGTGTGTTAGTGAGTATAGAAAGATGAGGTTGACGTTCGAGGGGAAATTTACGAGCTAAAAGACCACCTTCATGATCATAGCATCATAACATGTGCTCCATAGTATGGTTAGCTACATGTTAAGCATCATAACATGTGCTCCATAGTATGGTTAGCTACATGTTTAGCATCATAACATGTGCTCCATAGCCTACGTCGTAATCCGAAAAAGAACGGAGCCATTCATGGACAGGGAAGGGGGCGCTTAATGGGTTCTTCGCACAGTGCGAAAATTTACAGGCTGGCGTTGTCAGTAGGTTTGATGACGTCATTCCAGCTGCGGATAGATTTAAAACTCGAATTTCGAGAGGTTAGAGTGGCGAATTGGGGGGGTAGATTCCATTGGTCCCATCTGTAATTAGACAATCTACCTCACTGGTCCCATATATAATTCAACCACCTTCTCCACTGGTCCCATCTGTAAATGAACCACGTACTCCACTGATCCCATCTGTAACTCAACAATCTGCTCCACTGGTCCAAGCTGTTATTCAACCGTTAGCTTCACTGGTGCCCTCTAGCGTGCCATCAGTTTCCAGTCTCGTCCCATGGCGGGGGGGGGGGGGGGGGTGGCGGTGGCCCATGCCGTGCGATGGATCAAAGTGTTACCTTTTTATATTTAATCACACCCTGAAATTTAATCCGCGAATGCCGCGTCCACGGAGCTTCAAATACTGTCCCACCCGAGCAGACCCGCGAGCCACACGAAAAGATTAGCGTCACGCCGTCAGCCGTCTCTTGTTTCCCAGATCTAAAGGCGGAGTCGTTTCCTCTCGGCAGGCTGCGCCTGATGACCATTCAACTTTCCCCGTGCCCGGCATATCATAACCCTTACCATACAGAACTATTTAAAAAACTGTTGAAGAGAGTTTACCACGCAACAGGCCGGCCTTTGGGCCCGCATAATCTGATTAGAAATAAAAGAAAAAGGTTTTAAAAGTTGAGCCATAGTGGTATAAAATATTTGACGGGGACATTTGAATGTTGATGAAAGAGATAATGGGATTTTCGGAGGTAAGGGTACACGCGTCTCCATGGTAATGTAATTTGCATGTGATTGAGAACAGCCAATGAACCACCACCTTTTAGGAAGAGAGTTAAAATGCGACCGTCATTTATGGAAAAGCTCAGACACAGAAAGTCATTTGTAGGGGAGATGGCCCCATTAAACAAAACAAAAAAATCTTTACTAGCTCCTTATTTATTATTTAAACTAGCTATTTCCTTCGCGTTTCAAGTGCTGGTCTGATCGCATCAGGTTAAACAGAGTACTTCCCCATGAACTTCCTGATCTGTCGCATAGAAGGGGACGCAACTACCATCATTGAGCGATTCTCGAACAGTGAAAAGTCTGGATCTAATTATTCTCCAAGATGGATGACAATGTTGATCGTGCTATGTTTGGACCAGACGCGGCGTCAAAAGACGCTTTGTCAGCGAGACTGGGCGTATTAATACCGGCCACGTGGTGCGCTAACTGGCAGAGAACAAATGATTTCTCCCCAGACACAGACATGACACTCTCACTGCTGTCTGACTCGTCTTGCTCTGTGGGTAGCTCGTCGTCGTCACTTTCGTCGATGTCCCCATCTTCGTCGCCCGTGTCGTTCTCAGCATGCCCGTCGGTCAACGCGATACCGGAGAAGAGGAGAATACGATCGAGGAAGAAGGCTTGCTACAAGCACGTACCCCACTGTCTCAAACCGCCCCACCTGGTGGCGAAACGGAACGCCCGTGAGAGGAAGCGGGTCCAGGCCGTGAACTCCGCGTTCTCGAAACTTCGGAAGCACGTGCCTTACGAGCCGCGCCACAAGAGGCTGTCTAAGGTCAAGACGCTTCGTTTCGCCATCGAGTACATACGGCGTCTGCAGGAGTTGATCTACATTCATGACCGGCAACTCCAGCGCGGCGAGAACATCACGGAAGAGAGTTGGTGTGTATCTAGAAAAGATTCCAGCCAACGAGAACATCAGGGGATTGAAACAGACGCTCGACGTCGATGTGTTGAAAACTGCCGTCAGACAGGTTTCCCTGTCATCAGCAGTATGTCAAGGAGACGATCAAAGATAAGCGATGTTCATACGGGAACTTTTCACGGGCAAGCGAACGAAAGGCGCGACAACCATTCCTTGGGACAAACTATGGTTGCTCCGCAGAAGCTCGTCTCGGCTTCAGATTTGAAACGACAAGTTAGTGATGGTATTTCTGTGCGCCCAACGGCAAGTCAGCCGTGTCACCAGCAGACTTTCAGGCCCATCCTTACCGCCACAGACGGTGCTCGGTCAGACCAATGTCACGGATCTCAGGGCGTGCTCTACAACGCTCGATACTATCAAACCAATCCATCTAACGTAACACCCGTCTTCCAAATCGAGGCTGGCAATGTGTCGGACACTAACTCACACTGCACCGAAGCTCGCCATTTTTCAGTGGCCGACGATTCGTTCTACGACGGTTACCGGACGGGAAACACATACCCCTGCTTTCCGGAGCAATTTCAAGAAGACGCGGTGTTCCCCATCGATGGTGAATATACCAAACGTTTCCCGTTTGACACAAGGGAAGCTGACCAGGGCTGTACAAAGGGAGCACAGCAGTTACGGAACTGTGGATTTTCCTCGTCCATGTTGGAGCCAGGATTTGTCTTGGATGAAAACTGTGGAATTACGTAATGCATGAAGCCAATGCCGCCAGTAGCTGAGGGTAAGATACACATGTAATCAATTTTTTTTCCAAACAATTGTTATTTCTCCTGTGGGGCCAGCGGAAGAAATTTAGTTGATTATCTGACAATGTCACAAAGTACAACTGAAAATGTCACAAAACATGACCTAAAATGTCACAAAACATGACCTAAAATGTCACAAAACGTGACCTAAAATGTCACAAAACATGACGTAAAATGTCACAAAACATGACCTAAAATGTCACAAAACATGACCTAAAATGTCACAAAACATGACCTAAAATGTCACAAAACATGACATAAAATGTTACAAAACATGACGTAAAATGAGACAAAATATGGCGCATAATGAGTTATTTTTGTTGAATCTAGATTTATAAAAGCCCTGCAACAGGTCAACAGGTCTAGCTGTTCTAACAGCTATGTTATCAATTGGTGTTTCCAAAGAATTTTATTGGCGTGGACCGGTGAAAAGAGAAAATATATTTAAACCCATTTCAGAAATACATCCATTATTATTTACATGTAGGGGCCATCCATACATAACGCCAGACACCTGGAGAGGGAGGGGTCACATACATACGACGATTGGGATGGGGCAATGTGACGTCAGATAAAAGGCGGAGCTCAATGGAAAAAACTGTCACGGAATTAGAGTTGATTGTACCACAGTTTAATCAAGCACCATTTATTGTACCACAGTTTAATCAAGCACCATTTATTGTACCACAGTTTAATCAAGCACCATTTATTGTACCACAGTTTAATCAAGCACCATTTATTGTACCACAGTTTAATCAAGCACCATTTATTGTACCACAGTTTAATCAAGCACCATTTATTGTACCACGGTTTAATCAAGCACCATTTATTGTACCACAGTTTAATCAAGCACCATTTTAAATGATTAGGTTTACAATATTTTTTCGATGAGTCGAGTTGTCCATTTTGAAACGATCCTTTCCCTTTTGAGACCTGGTAGACCTTGACACGTGTCTGAATGACCTTCAGGTTACAGCATGGTATGGGGGGACATGGGGCGGGGGGCAATGATGAAATGGACCGAGACGTTGGCAGTCGGGATCAAATAAATTATGGTGAAAAAGGAGCCTGGAGTCTGGGAATGAAGGAAGGAGGAAGGAACAAAAAGTAGTTGACCGGGAAAATTGATCTTAGTCTTAGTAATGTTTTATGGCAGAGATTCCCAAACTATTTCCAAAAGTAGTTGACCGGGAAAATTGATCATAGTCTTAGTAATGTTTTATGGCAGAGATTCCCAAACTATTTCCAAAAACAGTTGACCGGGAAAATTGATCCTTGTAATGTTCTATGGCAGAGGTTACCAAACTATTTCGAATCACGGCGCTTTTGCTGCATCCAGGTATTCGCATGGTCCTTTATTTCGAATCTAACAAGGTTATTGTCAATTATAGAATTTTAGTGATTTTTTAAAAACTTCGTGGCACCCCTTTGATGAAGTCGCGTCTTCTTGAAGCGTTGTATTTGTATATGTGAGACCAGTAGTTAAGGCCTTACAAAATATGGCAATGTATAAATCAAGCATAACTGTGGACTCATCAAACCAAAGTAGTGACATTCACACCTCGCGATTTTAAAGTGAAGAACAAATAAATATAGAAAGATGAGCAATTCATTTGACCTGATGGATGACATTCACATATATTACTTAAAGTTAATTGAAGGAATACATTTTGTGAGCCAGGAGCTTCGAATATTTTATGATGATATGTAATTATAGGTTATTATAATATAGTATAGTATAGTATACCGCTATGGGATGCTATAGGATATCATAGGATATGACACAAAAGTCGTGTTTAATTTAATGTTTCCCGCCTTTCTCAGATTATGACCCGACGACATTAGGAGCCCGGAGCCCCCCCCCCCCCCCCCCCCCCCCCCC